GTTGGAAACAGAAAAATCGCAGGTAGTTGGAAAATATGGCCTTGGTTATATAACAATAATGCTGGAGATCACATGATAGAATTTTGCAAGACCAATGACTTACTCATTACAAATACCTTTTTTAAACAACATAAAGGATGGCTATATGCATGGACTTTTCCAGATGGAGTACACAGAAATCAAATTGGCTACATCTGTAGAAAGAGGTGATGGAGAAGCTCAATATCTTCAGCCAAAATAAGGCCAGGAGCTGACTGTGGAACAGACCATCAGCTGTTTGTATGCAAGTTCAAGTTGAAGCTGAGGACAATTAAGTCCACAAGAGCCAAAATATGACATTGATTATATCCTACCTGAATTTAGAGACCATCTAAAGAAAGACTTAATGCATTGAACACCAGTGACCAAAAACCAGAGGATTTTGGGATGACATCAAGAGCATCATCCACAAACAAAGCAAAAGGTCATTAAAAAGACAGAAAAGGAAGAAAAAACCAAAATGCATGTCAGAAGAAACTCTGAAACTTGCCCTTGAATGGAGAGTAATTAAAGCAAATGGAAGAAATGACAAGATAAAAGAGCTGAACAGAAGATTTCAAAAAGCAGCTCAAGAAGACACAGTGAGTTATTATAATGAAATATGCAAAGACTTGGAGTTAAAAAACCGAAAGGGAAGAACATGTTTGGCATTTCTTAAGCTGAAAGGACTGAGAAAAAATTCAAGCCTCGAGTTGCAATATTGAAAGATTCTATGGGCAAAATAGTGAATGATGCAGGAAACATCAAAAGAAGATGGAAGGAATACACAGAGTCACTGTACCAAAAAGATTTGGTTGATGTTCATACATTTGAGGAGCTGGCATATGACGAGAACCAATGGTAATGGAAGAAGAAGTCAAAGCTGCACCGAAGGAATTGGAAAAAAAGAAGGCTGCAGGAATTGACAGAATACACACTGAGATGTTTCAACAGATGGATCCCACGCTGGATGCACTCAGTTGGCTATGCCAAGAGATTTGGAAGATGGCTACCTGGCCAACTGATTTGGGAGAGAGATCCATATTTGGATCTCTGGAAGACTGTAAGAGATCCATATTTGTACTCACTCCAAAGAAAGGTGATTCCATGGATTGTGGAAATTATTGAACAATATCATTACTGTCACACTCAAGTAAAATCATACTAAAGGTAATTCAAAAATGGTTATGGTAATATGTTGACAGAGCTTCCAGAAATGCAAGCTGGATTCAGAAGAGGATATGGAGTGAAGGATATCATTGCTCATGTAAGATAGATCTTGGCTGAAAGCAAATAATACCAGAAAGATGTTTACTTGTGTTTTATTGACTATGCCAAAGCATTCAATTGTGTGGATCATAACAAATTATAGATAACATTGAGAAGAATGGGAATTCCAGAACACTTAATTGTGCTCATGTGGAACCTGTACATATACCAAGAGGCTGTCATTCAAACAGAACCAGGCGATACTACATGGTTTAAAATCAAGAAGGGAGTGCAACAGGTTGTACCTTTTCACCATACTTATTCAATCTGTGTGCTGAGCAAATAATCTGAGAAGCTGGACTGTGTGAAGAAGAACGTGGCATCAGGATTAGAGGAAGACTTAATAGCAACCTGTGATATGTAGACAACACAACTTTGCTTGCTGAAAATGATGACTTGAAAGCACTTACTGATGAAGATTAAAGACTACAGTCTGCAGTATGGATTACATCTCAACATAAAGAAAACAAAAATCCTCACAACTGGGCCACTAAGCAGCATTACGATAAATGGAGAAAAGTTTGAAGTTGCCAAAGATTTCTTATAACTTGGTTCCACAACCAACACCAATGGAAGCATCAGTCAAGACATCAGACAATGTATTGCAGTGGGAAAATCTGCTGCAAAAGACCTCTTTCAAGTGCTAAAGAACAAAGATCTCTCTGTGAAGACTAAGGTGTGCCTAACCCAAGCCATGGTATTTTCAGTCGCTTCATATGCATCTGAGAACTGGACAATAAATAAGGAAGACCGAAGAAGATTTGAAGCTTTTGAGTTGTGATGTTGATGAAGAATGCTGAAAGTACCATGGACTGCCAAAAGAGCTAACAAATCTGTCCTGGAAGAAGTGCAGCCAGAATGCTCCTTGGGAGCAAGAATGGCCAGACTGTGTTTGACCTACTTTGGTCATGTTGTCAGAAAGGGCCATTCCCTGGAGAAGGATATCATGCTTGGTAAAGTGGAGGATCAATGAAAAAGGCAAAGGCCCTCAACAAGATGGATTGACACAATGGCTAAAATGATGGGCTTAGGTGTAGCAAGTATTGTGAGGCTGGAACAAGACAAGACAGTGTTTCGTTCTGTTGTACAATATGGTCTCTATGAGTTGGAGCTGATTTGACAGCACTAATAACAACAACCGCATTCTCATGTGGATATCAGAGTATTATGTTGCATATTGTTCTGTGCTGTTTTTGTTCACTCATTCATTAATTTATTCAACAGATATTTACTAGACATTTATGTGTCAGAAACTTTTAAGCACTGGAGATCTCTGCCATCAAGGAGGGTATATTTCCCTCACTGTGTACCTTGGCTGTTCTACTTTTTTCTCCCTCTGTCTAAACACATGTCTCATTCTACCCCTGGGCCTCTATGTGAGTGCTTATCTTATTCTGCCTAATTCTTACAGTTTTCTTCCCCTAGTTTATCTTACCATCTCACATTATCTTCTTCTTTGTGATAGTTCTGCCATAATCTTTCTTTCCTCTATTAATCTTTTATTTTCATCCTGAGTAAAATAAGCAATGCTTTAAAAGATCTGAGCTCCTACTTTCCTCTTTTAACTCTCCACTTACTACTGATCTCCTTATTCATTTCACTACAGCTACACTGGCTTCTTTCCCATTGTTGTCTCTTGAAAACAGAGGCATAGTCCTACCTCAGGATCTTTGCACTTGCTGTTCCTTCTACTTTGAATAATTTTCCTTCATAAATCCATGTGTTTCCCTTGCTTCCTTCAAGTCTTGTTGAATTGTCATCTTTTCAGTGAGGCCCTTCCTGACTATACCATATTATAAGTACATTATGTTTAACTACTACATATCCTATTTCCCATCCCTACCTCATTTTCCTTGATAACATTTACTACCTTCTAATTTATACTGTATAATTTGATTTTTTGTTTATTTGTCTCTTCTCTGTTGTACTCAAAACCAAAACCAAACTCACTGGCATCAAATTGATTCTGACTCATAGCGACCCGCATTTGATTTCCAAGGCAGTAAATATTTATGGAAGTAGATCACCTCATCTTCCTTTTCTGGAGTGGCTGGTGGGTTTGAACCACCAGCCTTCTGGTTAGCAGTTAAATGCCTTAGGCACTATGCCAGCACAGCTCCTTCTCTGTTGTACCAGTGTATGAAATCTACGAAGGTCGAGATTCTTTGACTGCTGGCAAAAGCACCTAGGATACTGACTGGTACTAGTAGGAGCTAAAGAAATATTTGTTGAATGAAGGAGTCACCTTGGTATTTTGTTTGTTGTATTACATTTATTGAATATACTTCTTTGCTACACATACCTATTTCAAAAATAAATGGCTGGAGCATTTTATATTTTTCCTTAAAAATCATTTCAATGGCTTTATGTATTCAGCTTCTTTTGTTCTATAGATTTGTAACCTTCTCTAGGTAAAAGGTTCTCCATCCCCATTACGTGTATACCCTTAGGCCAGAATGCACATTGAATTAGATGACAATTCTAATGGTAATACATAATTTCAATGTCATAGGTAACCCAGGAGGAGATGGCATCCCAGGTAAACTTTAAATCACATACAGATACCCAAGAATGCTTCAAAAACCAAAAAAATCCTACCAAATGAAATATTCCTCATACATACATATATATATATATATATATATATATATATATATATATATATATACGTATATGTATAGATATATGTGTATATATACGTGTATATATATACGTGTATATATATATATGTGTATATATATATTATTTGTAATTTAAAATTTATTTTATATGTATAAAAATACTTAAAAATGAGTTCAGGTAAAACTTCCTTATTAAGATATCTATGCCCATACACAATACTGCATTATCACAATACTATAGCAACAAACACTGGCTATGGGTGGATACATAGACAGGGGAGAAAATCAAGTGTGAGTAAGTGGATGAGAATATACCCATGACCATAGATAGATTTGGCTGATGATATTCCTACATGTCTATTTGTGCTACAAATAATATCCATATACATTATAGAAATAACAGGGGACAAGGTTGCAGTAGCTTCTCAGTGACAACTAAGCATCTTGAGGGAGTGAGTCACCAGACCTTCAGGTTTGGGATCATGGTCTCAGGGGACATCAAGCTCAATTGGCACAACATAGTATGTGAAAATCTTATTCTACATCCTACTTTGGTGGTAGCAACCAGGGTCTTAAAAGCTATCGAGTGGCCATCTAAGATGTAACTATTGGTCTCCCCTCATCTGGAACAAAGAAGAGTGAAGATAATTTAAAAAGGATATATATGCCCACAATCACTTAATCATAATTGTGAAATGTAATGAGCTCTGAAAGTCAAATGATTATAAGTTTACCACAAACTCATTTGTGGTAAACCCAATCTGACCTGATGTGAGACTGTTTATAGTCTTTATTATTTCATTTGGTAGGTCTAGTTATGCTTCACTGCAGGAATATGACTGTGTTTGATGATAATGTGTGCCCCAGACCTGCAGAGTATTATGTAATCCACTCTTTATGTTTTATTATTGTCTTTCTAATAGCAAAAAAGTTCTGAATGCTGAAATGCATCTTGCTAGCCCCAAGGGATTTGGATAAGAGATTGAGGACTTGTGTATCTCTTTAAAATCCACTTTACTAAAATGAAGCCAGATTCTCTAGTCATCAACTTCCTAACTTTAGTGGCTGCTATTGCTGTTATTTTTTCTCCAGCTTTGCAAACCTGGGTATACTTCATGTGACAAAGAAAAAAGTATTTGAGACACTGGAAGCACGAATGACAGAAGCATGTGTAAGAGGCTATAACCCTGGACTTTTAGTGCATCCTGATCTTGCCTATTTACAAGCAGAAGGTGGAGGAGACAGGCAACTCACAGGTGAGCATCATTTTCCCAGTCTTGCTCCTTTGAGGAGCTTACACAAAAAACCACTCTGCTATCAAGTCAATTCCAACCTTATAGGACAGAGTAGAAGTGCCCCATAGAATTTCCAAGGCTATAAATCTTTATGGATGGAGACTGCCTCATCGTTCTCCCGTGGAGCTGCTGGTGGGTTTGAACTGCTGACATTTGAATCAAATGCTTTAAGCCACTGTGCTGCCAGATCTCCTTTGCAGAAGCTTAGGCTTTCATTTTCTCATGTGTGGACTAAAGGTTCATCTCTGTGTTTCTGGTTTCTCCTTGTTTCACTCTGTGTCCACCCTTTCCCTTCTCAGAAACCTCTGATGGAATTCTATTACCTGTAAAGTAAAATCTATAATCCTGTAGCCCTCACAGTCTGGTCTCAGCCACCTTTTTAGCCTCATCTCTAGTCCCAACCAAGAGCAACCCCTCCCCATCACTGCTCTGTGAACACCTGGTGCATATTCACACCTTTGCACTTACCTTCCTTTACCTAAAACACTCCTCCTCCCTTCCTTTTTCAACCAACTTGTCAAAACTTGATTCATCATTCAATACTTAGCTCAAAGAATACCTCCTCTGTTAATGCCTTTCCCTAGCTCACGTTATTAAAATGAATCTCTCTTTCTTTGGGCTGATCAGGCATATTATAAACTATTCTCTCTTTACCAAAAAAAAAAAAAAAATACTATGGTTTTCTGTTTTCTTGCTTTTGCTCAATTTTTACTTCAGCACCAAGCCCTGGTCTACCACCTTGTCCCGTTTCTGCTTTTACATTTTATCCTTTGGTCTGGCTACTTTTCCATCATCTTATACTCAGGCAATCCAAAACCCATCATAATTCTTCCATGAAATATATTCTATATTCTGATACCCAGACTCAAAATCTTCACATCATTTTGCATTCTTCCCCTCACTGATGCTGCATCCCTATAGTCAGTGGTCCAGCTAGTCTGTGCTCCCTCATTTTTCAGTGTTCCAGTCTCTCTCGTCACTGCCCCTCCCCATTTCTAACTCAGCTTAAACCCTATGGCCACTTGGATCAATCCTACTAAAGCATACATTTTATCACCACTCAGTGTCCCCTCATTGCCTATAAAGTCCAACTATATCCTGTAAGGTGGCATTTCAGACCTCCAGAAACTGGTTCCAGGGTTTCCAACTGTGTTTCCCACTGTGTTCCTTCAGCTCAAACAGAACTGCTCCCTAAGACTACCATGATTTCTCTTTTCCTTGTCTTACTTAGCACATGCTTTCTATTCTTGCTATTCCCTTCTCCTGGAATGCCCTTGTCCATTCTCTTCATATATTCAAAATCTATCATGGTTTCAAGATTTAGAGCAAATGCCTCTTCTGCCCCAAAGACTTTTAGATTCACTTCTTCAAATTCCATTTACTTTCATCTGTAGCTCTCTTGTAGTACTTATCATTTGAATGACAGCTTTTATGATATTGTAAGTTTATGATATCCACCAGCATGAAAGCTCTACCAGGAGACAAATGGAATTAATCCTTTCAGTTACTTCAAAAATGCTTTGAGTACCTACCATGTGCCACACACTGTCCTAGGCAGTGTGGAATGACATAGTTCCTGTGCTCAAAGAGCTTTTGGAATAATTAGTTTTCACATTTCTCAATACAACTGGTACATAGTAGGCTTATTACATTGCATTCCACCACATCCTTTGTGACTTTAACTCTTATTGTAAAGAGAAAAGGGAGAAGTAGTGCCCCCAAAAACAGACTGGCAATCTACTTCCAAAAAATCAGCCATTGAAAAACCTCATGGAGCACAGTTCTACTCTGACACAGCACACATGGAGTCTCCTTGAGTCAGAATCGACTCAACAGTAGCTGGTGGTGGTGGTAGTAGGGGATTAACAGGAGAGGAGCAAGGCACTGAGGATAGTTTTCACCTTGTTGTTGTTGTTATGTGCCGTCGAGTCAGACCCAACTCATAGCGACCCCTCCTTGGGTTTCCAAGGCAGTATTACTACGAAAGTAGATTGCCCCATCTTCCTTCCGAGGAGTGGCTGGTGGGTTTGAACCGCCAGCCTTCTGGTTAGCAGTCAAATGCCTTAGGCACTACACTACCAGAACTCTCTAGTTAGAGAAAATGCACACTTTTTTTTAATACCTTTAATTTTAGATGGCATAATTTTTAAAAATTTTACTAGCAATATAGAGAATTTTGAATTAAAAAAATTGGTTTTTACTTTATGTTCTTTGACTTTTATAAAAGCATGCTATTTTGAACTGTTCATTCCTCTTTACACTTTCCTTGGGCATGAATGGACTTGTCCTAGATCGGGAAAAGGAGATAATCCGCCAAGCCGCTCTTCATCAGACAAAAGAGATGGACCTCAGTGTGGTGAGGCTCATGTTTACAGCTTTTCTACCAGACAGCACCGGAAGCTTCACCAGGCGCCTGGAGCCTGTGGTGTCAGACGCCATCTACGACAGCAGTGAGTGCTTAACTTCTAACAGGAGGCAGATAAAATATAAAGAGTATAGGCTTCCAACCCAGCCCTATTATTTATTTACTAGCTCTGAATTCTGGGACAACTGATGTAATTTCCTTGTGCCTCAAGTTTTTCATCTATAAAGTGGGAATACTTAAATCTATATTTTATTAGGTGCTCGATAAATGTAGTTCCCCTCCCTTCAGTTTGCATTGTGGTTTTCCATATGGAATCCCAAATCTCTTATTCTTTATGAACTCAATACTAAGAGAATATATTTTTCTTGCTCTTGAAAGGAAAAAAAGTCTCATTTTTTCTTTGAGGCTTTAAACAGAAGTTAGATGGGTATTCTTACCCATCTTTATTCCATGTATTAGTAGCTTTATCAAGATAAGAACTTTAAGTTAATTGAATGAGTAGTGAGCATATTACGTGCCTCCAAAATGTGATTTTGCTCTACAGTTCCTAAACCTTTTTAGAGAGTTCTATAAGGATTTACAGCATTTTCTATGCAACTTACTTGTTTGGTATGCATGGGATTTATTAAACAGGTATTTCCAATAAGTCTTGAAAATTTATGGAATTTAATGTAAATAAAAAACTCCAAGTATAACAACTGATTTCTCTAATTTAAACAAGTTAGAGGGGAAGTGAAAGAGTTACAAAATGATATAGGTTCATATACTAAAGACTCCATCACCTTAAAATGCAGCTGTTGGAGCAAAAAAAAGGAAGCTTTATACTTTACCACACTGAAACTTTTGCCCCCTAACCACACAGAATCTTAATTTAGTTTGATAAAAAAATTTAAAATAAAAAGCGATATAACATCTCCATTTTTTTGTTTCTTCCTTCCAAGGAGTGGCTGGTGGATTTGAACCACCAGCCTTCTGGTTAGCAGTCACATGTCTTAGGGACTACACAACCAGAGCTCCTATAGAATAAAAATTGATAAGTAGTGAGAAAATTATGGGAGCTCTGGTAGCGTAGTGCTAAGGCACTTGACTGCTAACCAGAAGACCAGCGCAGTTCAAGCCACCAGCCACTCCTCGGAAAGAAGGTGGGGCAATCTACTTCCGTAGTGATACTGCCTCGGAAACCCAAGAAGGGGTTGCTATGAGTCGTGTCTGACTCGACAGCATATAACAACAACAACAGCAACAAGAAAACTGTGCTTTTTCTAGCCTAGAAAATTAGGACTCTTATAAATGATATGACCATATCATGGAAATAAATTTGAGTTCTTAACATAAATGAAATTCCAGACATCCTTTAGTTTGATACCTTCTGAGGCCTCAGAAAAACTCTTTGTCTTCCCCTATTATTCCCTCTTGCTGTGTTAAAGGGAAAAACAAATACCTGCTCCTTTGTATCTCATCATATTTTGGTGATCGTGAATTACCCCTAGCCAAGAGATGCTCCCAGGTCTTTGGAAGGCAGTCTTATTTTACTAGGATCCCTATTTAAATAATAGGAAGTGAAGACATCTATTTAAACTCCCTTTTGATAAGGTGTGCTAAGAACAGCATCCCTGATAAGGGATTGGCTTGTACAGCTGAGGATAATCCATAACATTTTTTGTTGTTCTGGAAACAGAAGCCCCCAATGCATCCAACTTGAAAATTGTAAGAATGGACAGGACAGCTGGATGTGTAACTGGAGGAGAAGAGATCTATCTTCTCTGTGACAAGGTTCAGAAAGGTAAATATGTTCACTGGTATCAAGATGTAAAACATAATTCTGAGTGTGTCATTTTTTGACTATGTCTTGGCACTCCTTTAAAGCATATATACAATTTACCTCTTCCAAATTTAAGTTGCTTGTATTTTTATTAATTGTTTTTGTTAAACTCAACTAATTTATTTTAAAGTTTTCAACAGAAGTAAAGAGGAATAAGAAAATAGTAGTAACTGTAATTATTGACCTTTTATTATTTTAATATTTTAAACCTTGGTATCTAAGCTTGGTTAAACTCAAATGACTAATACATAGTTGATGCTTGACACACATACAAACACAGAGGATAAATACTAAGTTGTTTATTTTTAAACTCTTTGTTGTAATACTGACAGCTTCTATGCACACCTCTGTATGACAATATAATGTAAACTAAGAAAAGGAAAGACAGTAGAAATGAAATCGTTACTAAGATTGATAAATTAGCAACAGCAGGTGGAGATTATATGTTATTTTCTCAAAACTTCACTCCTTTTTAACATAAAATGGTAGGTGGAAACTATAATAAATATCTATTCATTACAAGGCTAGCATTTTCAGAGTAGGCAGATGTAAAGTTTAAAATATAGTCCATAAAGAAAAGAACAATGGCTTTTAAGAAATATATTCTCATGTAAGACTAAGTATAAAGCTCCAAAGTATAAGGCCAGAAAAAAATGGGATCAGATTCTAAAGCATACAGTTGTACCCAAAAAACTTTACACTTTCTCTGCATATCTTATTACAAGTCTTTTAATCTATTCAATCCAAATTATATTTATTTCCAGATTCCTGGATGTATATACTATGAGTAAACATAATATGAATATTTTTATTTACTAATAGGGTTCTTAGTCATCATCATTACACTGAAATGGCTTGGAAGAGAAATCTTTCACTTGTCCTAAAGAATAACTAGATCCAGAGTAGTCCAGTGGGGTGAGATAATGGGTTATTTAATCCAACCCTCTGGTAGCATAGTGCCTAAGGCACTTGACTGCTAACCAGAAGGCTGGTGTTCAAACCCACCAGCCACTCCTCGGAAGGAAGGTTGGGCAATCAATCTAATTCCGTAGTGATACTGCCTCGGAAACCCAAGGAGGGGTCTCTATGAGTTGGGTCTGACTCCACAGCACATAACAACAACAAAGTTTCTAAAATTCTGCTTAAACGGAAATGTGGTTTCTGTAAGTGGATAGCCAAGTATTTCCTATGAAATGGGGAGCGAAGCCAGGGAAATGCTAACCTGAGTGAAATTTTGACATTCTAATTTAATCTGACCATCATAGTATTTTGAACTGTTACTCAATATGGACTAATAACATATTTAGAGCCTAGACTCTAAACTATACTATCTGGTTTCAAAGCCAATCTCCTCCATTTACTAGCTGTTCCACCTTGGATAAGCTACTTAATATCTCTGGATTGAAATACCGTTTTATGTAAAATGAAGATGATAATAGTACATCTACCTCATAGAGTTGTTGTGAGGATTAAGTCAGTAAATATATACATGTAAATCACACGAGTGCCTCAGTAAACATTATGTGGGACAACTGTCACTTTGTTAATCTATCTTGAGTTGAGCTACTTTTTGAGATACTGATATTCTTCATCATCCTTCATGTTTCTCAGGAGTGAATTGATTAAGGGGTGGAGAAGTGAGATCAGAGACTGATAAGATAAAGCTCAGATTGAATAGGTAAATCTAGTATTCTGCCCTTGTAAATGAAACTTAGGCCCCATTATTGTGGTAACTAATTTTAAAAGTTTGTAATTTATGAAAATTGTCAGTAATTCAAAAGGCTGTGTTTTCCATTTTGAAAACATGTAAGTAAATAGTAGGTGGAATCTTGACCCAGTTTTATTCTTCAGTATGTTCATAAATACTATTACACTGCATAAAATTACATACTTGAATGTGACTGCAGATGACATACAGATTCGATTTTATGAAGAGGAGGAAAATGGTGGAGTCTGGGAAGGCTTTGGAGATTTCTCCCCCACAGATGTTCATAGGCAGGTAAGTGCATAATGATGATAATGATGATTGTATATTTTCTGACTTGTTGGAATTCATTACTTAGTTTCCATATATAAAATAAGAAAAATTATACATTTAACTTTCAGGAAAAAATGCTTTTTGAAACTCTTATAGGTCTTCAAGAAAAGTCATTACCTGTCATAAAATTATGACAAGACTGAGACTTAGGTAAGCAATTTCATTTGGGAATCTGATCCCTAACCCATAATGCAGTGGCCCTCAGTACCTCTACTGAAAATGTTTTAAGTGTTCTGCCAAGGTACTTATGGTGATACCTGATAAAAGGGTATTCTAATGAAAAGAGTTGAGAAGTGCAATCTTCTAGTTGAGGCTAATATGATCCTAGTAAATCAGGATTTCCCAGTTATAACTGAATATATGAATAAAATATGAAAATGTTGCAGCCCTTCTTAATTATTACTCTGATATCTTTTTAAAGGTGGCTGAGGAATATTATCACAAAGAAATTTGGAAATTTCACAAAAAATTAAATAAAATTCAAATGTTTGTCAATAAGTGACCAATTAAATAAATTATGATATAGTAATATGATGCAATATTACACAGTTAATAAAATAATGAGAATTCTATGAACTAATATGGAAATATCTCAAAAATACAAATTGAAATGAAAGAAAAAGCAAAGTGCTTAAGAGTGAAAGTAAAACGTTATTCTGTTCTCTCTCTATTCATATTGCATATGTGTAAAGAAACTCTAAGGAGCCCAGGTTAAGTGCAGTGGTTAAGTACTCAGCTGCTTATCTAAAGAAAGGTTGGCAATTGGAACCCACCAATAGCTCCATAGGACAAAGACCTGTCTTTAAAGGACTGAAAATCCTTTAAAGATTTCAGTCTGAGACACACTATGAGGCAGTTCTGCTCTGTCATATAGGGTTGCTGTGAGTCGGATTGACTCGATGGCACCCCAGAAACAAAGAAACTGGAAGAATATATAACATATTAATACCGGTGTTTACCTGTGGAGGCACACAGTGGGAATTGAGTGGATGGTGTTTTCAATATATACCATGGTCTATCTTTTTATAATTTACAAAGTCTCAATATCTGTGGATATATTACATACTCAAAAAGTTTAAAAAAAAATGTTAAAAAATTTTTAGCCTTTCTATCACCATCAAGAAATTGATGAGGAAGCCAGAAGTTTGCTTTAGAAGTATGTTACAGAACCCTCTATATATGTTTTGACCATCTTCACAGTGAAATATACCTAACACTGTGATGATGCCTTTCTAATCCTAATCAAGGCTTAATTTCCTCTCATTGGCTGGCCTGCCAACTAAGAGTGGTACCACTTTCCTCATTTCTCTCTTCCCCCAATTACTCTTTCTGATGTTGCTATAAATATTCTTCAAGGCTTTTAAGGTTGATTTGGAAGAAGGGAAAGAAGTATATGAAATGTATTTTATTTACGTAATATTTATAACTAGAAGAGATTTGAAATATTAGAAAAGTGGATAATTTGAACATTTGAAGTACATTGGCACCATCTTGTATTTCAATTGCACAATGATAGTTTAATAAAAGGAGCTCTGGTAGCATAGTGCCTAAGACACTTGACTGCTAACCAGAAGGCTGGAGGTTCAAACCCACCAGCCACTCCTCAGAAGGAAGAAGGGGCAATTTACTTCTGTAGTGATACTGCCTTGGAAACCCAAGGAGGAGTCACTATGAGTCAGGTCTGACTGATGGCACATAACAACAACAACAATTTAAGAAAAGCATATGGCTATGTGATTCTGAGTTCAGGGCTTTCACTTGCGTGCTGAATTTTAGTACACTGTGTCTAAACATAAGGAGTTCTGGTGGGTAGTGGATAAAACGTTTGGCTGCTAACCAGAAGGTCAGTGGTTCAGACTCACCAGCTGCTCCACAGAAGAAAGATGGGATGATCTACTTCTGCAAAGATTTACAGCCTCTGAAACCCAATGGAGGTCATTACGAGTCAGAATCGACTTGATGGCAGTGAGTTTAGGGTTTGTGTGTGTGTGTGTCTAAACATTAGGCATAGGGAGAAACATAAGGAAAGTGTTTCTGAGTTGCACTGCTACAAAAAATATGTAAATGCCTTTTACCAACCTTTGGATCTTTGCATCCTGCAGTTTGCCATCGTCTTCAAAACCCCAAAGTATAAAGACATCAACATTACAAAACCAGCCTCTGTGTTCGTCCAACTTAGAAGGAAATCTGATTTGGAAACTAGTGAACCAAAACCTTTTCTCTACTACCCTGAAATCAAAGGTAACTCAGTTGTTTGGGCTCTTGTGCTTATTCTAATAATAAAGAGAGACAAGTTGATTAGAAAAGTTCAGTTAGTGACCTCCTTTGAGCAACCTCCAAGTAACTGCTCCCTGGGTCCATGGTTTCAGAGAAGAGACAAATAATGTACTAGTTTGGAGTCATTGAATTAAATTCAGTCTTTTCAAATCATGTTGTTTCCATATTTGTGTTAGATTTAGAGTGTTGGCACATATTTGAGAATTTAACATTTTTTGAATAACTCAAAATTCAGGTAGTTGAGATCAAAAGATAAAGCTTGGTATTTAGAAGAATCAGGCCACTCAGGCAGTTAAACAGAAAACTCAGCCACTGTAGCACTGTAAAAGTGAATAAGATACTGTTTTTTTTCCTCACAAGGGACGTATCCATAAGGGGAGATAGTAGACTCCTAAAATGGTTATCATGCAAAGTATGATTTTGATAAATACCAAAAGTGAAAGATCTACATATCCATGTGAGGATGCTGAGGAGAGAGCCATTGACTCCATAGGAGCCTCAAAGATAAAGGCTTCTTAGAGATGATGTCATTTGATTTTTAAACTTTGGGATATATTTCAGCAGTTTGGTGTTTAACAGGGAAGGAAACATTCTCTAGGCTTGGGAAACTTTGGAAGCTAAAGGATGGAGGTAAGAACAATTTGTGTTTATTCAGAGAAACTGAGTGTTACAAACACTGAGATAGATGAGAGAAGGCTGAGGCAGGTAAGCCGGGGTACAGAGTCTGTGTGCAAACTAAGGAATTTGCGTTGATTCCGGAGAGGAGAGTGGCCAGATCCTTGAGTAAAGTTGATTTGACTTTCTTGTATAGATAATGAGGAGAGTACCTGGGAAACAGTGAATCACAAGAATACTGCAAGTGTTATAATTAATGTCACAAAATGAAATGTGTATAAATTGTTGAATGAAACACTGATTTGCTCCGTAAACTTTCACCCATACAATAATAAAGTGTTTCAAAAAAAAACCTACTGCAAGAATCAGAGTGAAAAGTGATGAGATTAGTCAAGTTTTGGTCCTAGGAATGATAGGAACAGATTGATTCAAGACACAGTTCAGTGATGGTGTCAAGAGGACTTGGGTGCTGACTGAGGTGGGAGGTAAAATAGAAATTCAGGAATCATAGCTGGTTCTGGTATTTCCAGCCTAGAAAGCTTGTGATATGGTTGACTGAAGAACAAGGGAACAAAAGTAGATTTGGGTGAGAAAGGAGGCAGCATGGTTTAAAACATGTTGTATTTTAGGTTCTATATTCTTCATTTTTATCATTATTATTATTTAAAGTTTTATATATTGCTAAAAGACTTTATCAATGTGTAAAAATAAGACAGTTTTATGTGTCTTATTGTCGATGATTCCTCCTAACCCTAGTAGAAACAATTTCCTTTAAGGCACAGTCTTGGTCTTGTTCATTGCTATGTCTCCAACATCTGGAAGAGTATATGGCAGGCACAAAGTAGATGCTTATTAAATGTTTGTGGACTGATTTCCTGCTCGACTAACTATATTGCCATCAGCAGCAGAAAGGCTGGTTATTAGTTGTATGTCAAGTAGGACATTAAATACAGAAATAAGACATTCTTCTCTCATTGTACAGAATGATCCAGCTCTGAATTCTGTGTCCTCTGTGGTCCTTGCCATTATAGCTAATAAAAACTTGATAGAGATGGTTGGGTCCAGAAGAAACAAAATAATCAAGAGAAGAATGATTTGCAAGGGGAGAACCTAGTTGAGGAACTACTGAACTGCTCTATGAAAAGTTAGCTATGACAAAGGAAGACTATAATGGCTTTTCAGTCTGAAAAGATGGAAATTAGAAACATGACCATGGTCTTTAAATAATGAAAGACAGATCTTTACTGGTCAACTAGAACCTGAAAAGTAAGAATGAGACACTTTTAAGGACATGCACAGCAAGTAGTAGAGGATAAAAATTTATCTACATTCATGGATTAAACTGTTATCTAAAGTCATCAATTAGAGGAAACAAAGATATTTTGGAATGTTTCTCAAAAATGGCAACTTAATACAATGGAAAAATCACTTGACTTTGAATATGATCTTCGTTTTGCCCTGATCTCAGACAAGTCACTTAACCATCCTGGCTTTAGTTTCCTCTTCTATAAAAGGATGGCTTACAGTGAATGACCACTTAGGTCCCTTCTAGAATAGGTTGATATTCTACAGTACATCTGATAGTGCCATTGTCAAGAGGCAGACCACAAGATAAATGAACCCAGTGTGAAAATCTACATATTCAATTCCATGGAACTGTGGGTTCTTTTATAAAGTGTGCCATGTGGAAGTTTCTTGTCATTGAAATCTGATTGGCTGTAAAATAGTTAGTATTTTGAAAATTGGCTCTTAACAATTTCTATTTTATAATAATATATAGCCAGTGTTTATCTGTGCCTTATAAAGCAAAATGAGTACATAGAAAATACCAGTTGGACTCTGCTAGAAACCATGACAATAGATAATATTTATTTTTGAAGATGAGTGAGTAAAGAGTTCAGCCATTAGCTACTTATGGAACAAATGATGGGGAAATTTTATGAATCTGTTCAAAAATCTTTGTTGATGTTTCTTAGTTTTGAGATCACTTATTTCTAATGGAAGCATAGTTTTCTCAAAGTTGACCCAGTTTGGCTTTTTCTTCCTAACAAGTTTGAATATGATTGGTTTTAAACAATTATTTTTTAAGTGCAATTGTTTCCCTACTTTCCCCTAGTCATTTTTCAACTGCATTTAGATGATCATGAGATAGTAAACAAGGTAACAGCCTTCCATCTAACCCAGAGATGACTGAAACAAAGATATTTTGGAATATTTTGGAGTAATTAGGAATAAGCAAGATCTGTCTGGACATAAACAATGACAAAAACATGGAAGAATCAGAAAAGGATAATTGTTAAATGTTAGGCTACTGGCTGAAGAAAGAATACTACATTGGGTATTTATTTAATTAAAAAAAAAAAAAAAAAAAACCCACAATGCTTTTGTTCTGATAGAAATATGGTAGGAAGATCAGAGAAAAGAAAGAAAGGGAAGAAGAAATGTTTTAGTTACCTAGTGCTGCTATAACAGAAGATACCACAAATGTGGATGGCTTTAACAAACAGGAGTTTATTCTCTTACAGTTTGGAAGGCTTTAAGTCCAAGTTCAGAGTGCCAGGCTCTAAGGACAGATGAAAGTCCCTCAACCTTGGGCTTCAGCTCTGCCTCCTGCTCCCAGCCCACTAGAGCTAGAGGCATTTCTTCACTCAGACAGCTGCTGGCTGCTGAAACTGATAAGCCCAAGGTTGACAAGTAAAAAGCACAGTCCCAATGTTACCAAACCACACGGCAGGCCATTAATTCAAGTCCATTGGAAGTCCCCAGGTCAGCAGAGCATGGCAGGCTGCTGAACAGCGACACAGCTACATTCAGGTTTTGAGTATGCTGTATGCTAGAGACTGTCCCCAAAGCTTTTCCTTAAATACAGGAAGCAGACCTCGTCCCTAAGGCAGCTACTCAGCTGCTAACAGTAAATTCCAGTCTCATCATGGAGTATACTACATCCAGCTGCCCAACCACCCAACCAAGCCCAGCCAAGTTGACACACAAACTTAATTACCACAAGAAATAACACAATAATAAACCACAGAGGCAGTGACATAAAAAAGAAAGGATAATGGGGCTCATGAGAAGCACAGATAATGAGAAGTGGGGAAAAATGACAATAATAGAAAACAGCAATCACATGAGGAATGAGAGAAGAATGTCTAAATAGTATCTTGACCTGGACAGTCAAAAGTTTCACACTGTATCACTGTTTTACTCAAGTATCTGTCTTAGACGTTCAGCTTCCCATAGCTCATCAGTTACCAAAGCCTACAGATTCTTCTTTCATTCTGTTTCTTGGATTTATGGAAACTACTAAGAACAATCCCCAACATATAATGTCTGCACTGTCTCTCCTTTTCACTTTGAACCTTCTGTAGTATCCCCTATGCACTAATGATAGGTCCCTGGTGGTGCAAATGATTGGTAATTCAAATCTATCCAGCAGTACCAAGGAAGAAAGGCTTGGAGATCTGCATCTGTCCTTATGGAGCACAATTCTACTCTGTAACATGTGGAGTCACCATGAGTTGGAATTGACCGGAGGATAAATGACAACAATATTCACTAGTGACAGATTAATCTCCCTAAGTTACTACTCAGTACACATCATTCCCTTGTTCAGAAACATTAAATGGTTGTGCTGCCTGTAAGTTGAGAGCTCTGGTGGCATAATGTCTAAGGCATTTGACTGCTAACCAGAAGCCTGGCGGTTCAAACCCACCAGCCACTCCTCTCTGTAGAGCTACCACCTTGGAAACCCAAGGAGGGGTCATTAAGAGTCAGGATCGACTCAACGGCAGTGAGTTTGGTTAGGGTTTTGGTTTCTGCCTATAAGTTAAATCTCTTAACTTCGTATTCTAGACAACCACAGTGTGGCCCCCAGTCAATCTGTTTTTCAAAAATTCCTTATAGTTAGCTTTCACTTCAGCCAAACTGATCATCTGTTGTTATCTTAAGCACTCCATGCACATTCTTCCCTTCTTTACTTCATTCCTTCTGTATCCCCTTCCCTTTTTGCCTCCATATATAAAGTTGATTGTGTGAAGCCTCTTCTTGGAACGCATTCCTGGATTTCTCAGCCCCCCTTGCCCTCCTAGAAATCCTTCCCTGAACTGCTAGAACACTGGTCTGCACCATGAATTTACCATATATAGCCTTATAGTGCTCTCTCTGTAGTCTTTCCCCCACAACCTTAAAATTATACCAGCAGGCCAAACATTGTCATGCTTCTCTTTATCCCCAGTGCTTACTTAGCTCATAATAAACCAGTTAGAGTCAAGTGACTCATGGTCACTCATATGTGTCACAATAGAACTGTACTTCATAGGATTTTCAGTGGCTGCTTTCTCAGAAGTAGATCACCAGGCTTTTTTTCCGAGGCCCCTCTGGGTAGACTCGAACCTCCAACCTTTCAGTTGACAGCTGAGGATGTCAACCATTCGCACTACCCAGAAGCTTTTAACTCATAATAGCTGCACAATAAATATTAGCTGATTAATAATAATTGATTTCTGTGACCAAGTAAAAATGCCCAATAGTGATTTCTTATTCACTATTTTACTCTTTTGTGGGCAATCTAGTCTCCCACTAATTTTAGCAACATTGGGAACTAACAGTTTTGGGTGTGTATTGTTCTGTGGTCTTTATGAGGCTGGTTCTCAGTCTAGTTGGCCATTGGAAAAAAAATATAAAACTTCTTGAAATTTGGTGTCTCTTCCTCCTTAAGTGTTTAAAAATACCATTAGAATCAATATTCTTTCTGTGGCTTGTAGTAGACCCGAATTAATCTTTTCTCTTCTGGTTTCTCTTCCTTTTTTGCCTACCTCTCTTTAAATACAGATAAAGAGGAAGTGCAGAGGAAACGGCAGAAACTCATGCCCAATTTTTCAGATAGTTTTGGTGGTGGTAGTGGACCTGGAGCTGGAGGCGGAGGCATGTTTGGTAGTGGCAGTGGAGGAGGGGGTACTGGAAGTACTGGCCCAGGTAAGAATAAAGTCTATTCTTTCTAATGCTTTTTTTTTATATTGGAGAGGGTAGAATTTTCTTTTCCTAAATTTATAAGCATATCTTTTGGGGGAGCGGTTGTAGTATTACTGAATATAATATATTAAATTAATTAAAAGTGCCCAAAAAGTGTAATTTTTTTTTTTTTTCCAAAGAAATGCAGAGGACTAAGTTTTGCTGAGTCTTTGAGAAATCATCTTGATGTTTCCTTCATTGTCTTCGCCATTTCAGGTTATGGCTTTGCCCCCTATGGATTTCCTACGTATGGTGGAATCACCTTCCATTCTGGAGCCACTAAATCTAATGCTGGAATGAAGCATGGTAATTTTACACTATTTCTTTTGTTTTTAATTCAGAATAAGGAATTTTAAAAAAATGATAAAAAAGTGGATTTTTTTTTTTTTTTTTGTTATCAGTTGGACCACTGCTGACTTTGCATCAGGAAAGTTTTCTCTGGTTCAGCTCACCACCCACTGGGTGGTTGGTATAAACTAGCTGCTATGGAGTGGAGTTGACTCATGGAAAAAGTGGTTTTTTGTTTGTTTGTTGATTATGTTGTTATACATATACAACATAATCATTTTGAAAAAATTGAATAATGCAAATGAACAAAGAAGATGTTTTTCCAAAACTTTGTAGCTCATGGGGGGTATAAACTCTATTTCAGATGCCTTGTTTTTATTTATATATTTCCTTTGTTAAGTATCATGAACAGGGAGATTATATGAACATTAATAAGGGATATAGAGAGAGTTGACTCTTTAAGAATTAAAAAAATCACCAAATCTATCAATTCTCTCTCTTTTTTCTCAAATAATATGCTTTTGAAATCATTTTGAGTTTTCTAGGATTGGTCTTTTCTCTACCAAATGTATGCTTTAGTGAGAGTTGTTATACCATGTGTTCATAGTTTATATTACATGCCCATTCTACTGTATCCATTGAAGAAATAATACAATAAAATACTCCCATTTATGGAATGCTTGTCTCATGCCAGGTACTTTTACATGTTTTAATTGTAATCTTCATGACTGCTTTTTAAGTAAAATACTAGTATTACCATTCTACAGACAGAGGACACTGAGGTCCAGGAAAAAAGTTAATTCTTTGCTGAAGGAATACAGCTGTAAGTGGCAGAACTAGGATTAGAACCAGATCTGCCCCATAATACCTGTGAGATAACATGGTCAGGCCCAGGAAAACATGATCAGAAGTGGGGTGGTCTGGATATTTCACCCTAAGTAATGCGAATTGAGATGACATCTTTTCAACTTCCATTGTTAATTAGCATTAGGGAAAAAACAACTGCTCTGCTTTCAACAACTTTAAAATGTTCACTGAAAGATTCTTGGATTTCACAGAAGAGCTTTATTTCCTTTTTCCTTCTTTACAGATAAATGAAATAAGATGTAAATTTTTAGAACTGAGAGGTTAAAATAGCTCCAAGCCATGTTACTGATGATAGGACCATTTTACAAAGAATTTTAAATAATATTTTTTTCTTTCTCTTTGCAAAACATTTCCCTCCTACCTATATCTAACTTTCACAAAAACCATGAGTTATAAATTAATTAATAGACTTTACAGGAAAAAAAAAACTTAATGTGTTTGCATTTATCTTAGAAGCCTTAGGCACCTCATCTAAAAAAGACCATGAAGGTTGTGATGACAGAGATGCTATAAGTCTTTCTGGGAAAGTAATTGAAACCACAGAGCAAGATAAGGAGTCCAACAATGGGCATGATGAGGTTACTCTGACGTATACAGTAGGAGTAAAGGAAGAGAATTGTAGATTTCAGGGTAAGTGATCTCGTAGTGATTACATTTTATTGGTTGGGGTAGGGCAGGGTGGTTAGTTCCAGATATAGAAAGCTATTTCCAAAAGATGGGTTTATTTTTTGTTAATCTAAAGATGACAATGTGCCCTTAAAAAAATCCTAATATTCTTTATGTATCCTTTGAAATGCATGTATAAGTTCAGTTTAGTCACACTGGGCTTTCCGTTTTCCCTGTTTTATCTTCCACCACAAAGTACAGAAGTTTACATGTACATTCTTCAGTCATAATCACACAATTGTTGGGCACTGTGAGAGGTGATCTCCTCTAGGACTAATAATAGAGAACAGTTTCTATAACTTTAGTAGTCAGCCTTTCCTAGAGTCCAACTTGATCAAGGTCATATTGAAATGGAACTTTGCCAGAAAGTAGGAACTTTTTTCCTGTCACTCTTTTTTTGAAGAATTAGAATTAAGGACAGTGCCCTTTTGTGGCCAGTCCTGTTAGAGTATGGGTCATGATTCTAGGTCATGCTGGCTTGTCCTTGGAAGACTTTTTCTGTAAAGGAAAAGATATATATTCAGACCCAGGGCCACTATGAACTCTGTCATATTCTTTTTTTCTTTTTCACTCCTTTACAAATGTATGAGCCCTGGTGGCACAGTGGTTAAAGTGCTCAGCTTCTAACCAAAAGGTAAGTGGTTTGGACCCACCAGCCACTCCATGAAAGAAAGATGTGGCAGTCTGCTTCCATAAAGATTTACAGCCTTGGAAAACCTACAGGGCAGGTCTCCTCTGTCCTACTGGGTCTCTATGAGTCAGAATTGACTCTATGGCAGTGGAAGTTTTTTTGGTTTGAGTTACAATGTATAAGCCATGCTTAGCTAGGAGACCATACAAAAACAGATTACGCATCAGATTTGGCTCACAGGCCATAATTTGCAACTGCTTACCTTGCAGAAACAAATTTCACAAAAACACCGATGGCTCATGGAAAGTCTGTCTGACTTTCTAGGGCTGAGGCTGATTTCTGACACTTTTAATAAGATAGGTACTTCCCTAAAGGCTTTTTTCACTGAGAGGATGATTATCTAAAATTACAGCAGAATCCAAATAGTTAATTGAGGATCGCTGTTCGCCCTTAAAATAACAAACACTTCTATACTTTTCCCCCCTAACAAGCCATGGTCAGAAATTTTCAGATCATTTTCTAACCATGTTTGTGAGTGAGCCAATGTCCAGTTTTTTTCCAGTGAACATAATCCAGAATCAGTGAAAAGAGCATTTGCAACTAAAATCATATATTTGGGGAGTCGGCACAGGCAGGTAATGGTTTTTGCCTCGAGCAGGCTGTATCTGTAGAGCAGGTATAGACAACTTAACTCTGATCATGCTCGTTGTCTTGCAGATAACCTCTTTCTAGAGAAGGCTATGCAGCTTGCCAAGCGGCACGCCAATGCCCTTTTTGACTACGCAGTTACAGGAGATGTGAAGATGCTGCTGGCTGTCCAACGCCATCTTACTGCAGTGCAGGATGAGAATGGGGACAGGTGAGTTAGGACATCTGCATGACAAGGGTTGTTTTGAGTGAAGGAAGAAAGAAAAGCCTTGTGTATATAGTATTGTTCACAATAAAAACAATGGTTCAAGGTTATGAGGTCTTGTAACTGGAAATAATATGTCATAAGGTTAAATAGTATAAATTGCTTCTTCATACTGTGCCTATCACCTGTTTGACTGCAGAATGACTGAGAGTACTTATCTAAGAATATATCTCACTAGACAGTAAAACTAAGATGTGTATAGGGAATGGTACTTTTTGACAAGTTGTGCTTTATTTATGGAGACAATATTTGAAGAGTCCTAATCCAATCCCAGAAAGACTATTGATCCCAACTACATATTTGTAATATATTGTTGTTGTCATTGTTGTTAGCTACCTTGTTATACAGAATATTACCTGGCCTGGCACCGTCTTCATGGTCATCGTGTATGTTTGAGTCCATTGTTGCACCTATTCTGTAGCACCTTCCAACCTAAGGGGCTCATCTTCCAGCACTGTCAGACAGTATTTTGTTGTGATTCATAAGGTTTTCATTGGTTAATTTTTAGAAGTAGCTCAGCGGGCCATTATTCTTAGTCTGTCTTCATCTAGAAGCTCCACTGAAACCCGTCCATCGGGTGACTCTGCTGATATTTGAAATACTAGTGGCATAGCTTTTAGCGTCAAAGCAATATGCAAGCCACCAAAGTACAACCTGATGGATGGTATATTTGTAATATAACATACTAAAAAAAATAAAATAAGAAGTAATTGTCGTTCTTTTCCAGCTATTGGTTCCTTCTCTACTACCTCTGTTAATGGTTACTAGTCTGTGGCTGCATCTGACTCTGATGACTGCTCTAACCATTGTTGTATAGGAGTGTAAAATTCCAAACACTATGCCTTCCATTCCAGCTGTTACTGAAATCATATTTGCCAAGCCACCTGACTTCTTTCTAAAATGGTTCTCTTAGTCCTTTCATTGTGACTTCTAAAATGATCTCAAACCTCTGCTAAAAGCAAGAGGCAACAGCTTTCAGATTCAAGTCAAGGGCCTTATCTAAAATCTTCATAAAATAGCGTCAACACTGAGAAATCCTTTTCTGTGGAAGAGCTATTGAGTACTATTTTTTAAACTTCAGTTTAAAAACTGAACCAAACACTTTAGGAAAGTGCCAACCTCAGGGTTTCAAGCAGAGCCCTTTGTTCTCATTCCTTGCAGCGTAACCAAGGATGTGGTATAACCACTGGCCTTGTTATACATACAGTATGAAAGTAACAAGTACTGTCTTCTTTGTCTAATGCCATGGACAGCAGAATATTTTCTTCCAGGGTTAAATAATCCAGTTAACTTTCAGTAGCATGTAACCACAAGAGAAAGGAGTTAACCCAGACAGGACAAGTGACATTCTCATGGACCTGCTGAATTTTGATGAGTATAAGAAAGACAAGCACATTCAAGTTCGAAAGTGGTTGTTGATCTTTGAAGGGAGAATTGCAGAAAGGGAAACGAGGTGCTTACATTGAAGTGAGTACCACAGGAGAAAACATGTACATGTGTAAGGACCCTGGACATAGGAGGAGAGACTGAGGAAGGGGCCTTCCTTGTATAAGCATGAAGGAATCCTTAGAATCCCCTTGCAGGACTCCAGACACACTCACACAGTGGGTTTTGGGGGCTTGCCAAAGCTACAAGCAGCCAGAGAGATGAGATTTGGGGAGACCAAAAGGGAATTCACATAAGAGTGTAGACAAGGGGTGGCTTTTGACCATCACAGGCTCAGGCCTCCTGTTTTCATTGAACTGTTCATCCTGTGGCCATTAGTCATCACAGAAAATACAATTTAAAAAATCAAAATAAAATTTCTGTTATGGGGGAAATTCCCATGAGGGTGTGAAGATTCATGGGGGAAGGGAACAAACTTCTGCTATGAAGTGCTGAGGTGCATATGGAAATTTTAGGCAGTTGTTAAAGGATGACATTTTTCTTGGTATACATGTACATCATGTCTGTCTCAGACTTTAGGCACATTTCAGACATCTTCTAGCATCACGTTTCAAGAGATAATAGGGAAACTCTGAAATCATTCTGAAAAATATCTCTCAAGTAATGAATTCACAATTTAGTACTTTTAGGCCCTCCTATGCCAATAATAATCCCAAATAAAACATATTTGCTATTAATAAGAAAGAGACCTGCATAAAGTAACACCTTTAAATTAGATATATTGTAGCCTGTGCCTTAAATCCCAGATGTGCTGCTGCTGTGGGACACTTTGAATGTGCTGAGTGTCTCAATCTGTACATATCTTGGGGTAATCATCCTCTTAAATGTTCATCTGCAAAAAGCTAGAGCACTGCATGTATGTGCCTTAAGCAGAATGGTTTAAAAGATTAAGAGATGGCTTTGGAGTAAAATAGACTTGGGCTTGAATCCCATCTTCACCATTTACAGCTATGAGGCCTTGGGTGAGTTATCTTGCACTTATAAGCCTTAGTTTCATCATCAGAAATGTGAGGCTAATATTACCTACCTCATAAGATTCTTGTTATAGTAAATGAGGTTATGTGTAGTAAATAGAAGCACTCAACAAATGGTGGCCACTTTAATTATTATTGTTATTGTTGGGTTATTTACAATTAATTTTAAAACTTATTTTTTTAACCATTAAAATAAATGTGTGTTCCTAGAAGTGATGTTTAGCACCTGCCAGTATTTTTTACCTCATTAGCATAAGCCCACTAGGTTCAAATCATCACTCTTATTTTAGTGCTTAAACTCTGTGCTAAGATTGTAAGGCTGACTCAGACAGTCTGCCCCAGAGAAAGTCACAATGTAGAGAAGAAATAGAGCGCCCTGGGCGCTGAGCAGAGGGGGCAGCTCACTCTGCCCAGGAAGCCAGGAAAGTCGTCTCCAGGGATGCAAAGTTTGAACTGGCATATAAAGGGTGAAAGACAGGTGCAGTGATCTTCAGAAGTTTATATTGAGTTTGCGCTACACTTAAAAGACTGATTTCATTTTCTCCTTTAGAAAGATCTGAAAGAACCCACGACACTTGTATTAGAAGAACAGTAACAGAACTAGGTGAGGGAACTAAATTTTTCTGAATAATTCCAGGTGCCAGGCCAAGGAAAGTCAGAGAAGAGCAAGAGGAGAAAGTTCCTTGAAATAATAATGTGAGGTTGGGATTTGAACTTGGGTCTTCTTGACTTTGAAGCCTGGATGCCTTTATGCTTCAAGGGGTTAAATATAATGCTTCCAAACACTGGACAGACATTGTCAGTGAGTGTAGCAGCTTGTGAAAAAGAACATCCCCCATCATGGATTCAAAACACTTTATGGATTCAGATCTTTAGATCCAATGTTTCATTCTGTTATACATAGGTCTCTATGAGTCAGCTGGCTTGATGGCATCTAAGAACAACAACAGCTACTAAAACTGAGTATGAGGACCAACTTCAGTCAGCAAGTGTAATCACAGCCTGGGATTTTTTTTTTTTTTAAACTAAAACTTTAGTTGATTATTGTAACTCTATTTTCATTCTAGTGTTTTACACTTAGCAATCATCCACCTTCATGCTCAACTTGTGAGGGATCTGCTAGAAGTCACGGCAGGTTTGGTTTCTGATGACATCATCAACATGAGAAATGATCTTTATCAGGTAAGCAGAAATCTCAAGTAGAACACTGAAGGAAAATCCACGATTGTTTTTTGTTTTTTGTCTGCATGAGTGTGTGTGTGTTATTTTTAATAAACAATAGCAAAAATATTTTACATACAGAAAATTTTAAACATTTTTGTAGGTAATATCCTAAGAGGCCATTAGTTAGGAATGATATTATACTAATTGGAATCTTTTTATCTGTGGATGAATAGTTATTTTTGTAGCAATTACCACACAATGGAATTCCACATCTTGCTGGGAGAAGGCAAACTTCAAATCATTCAAACCGTTGGTCTAAGACCGTTTCTACCTCTAAAACCGTTTCTACCTCTAAAGCCATATAGAGGTAGAAACTGAGAAAAATATCACATCTATCAAAGAATTAGGCTTAAAAAACAGTAATTTATAAGAGTGTTTATGAGAACGTTGAGCACTACTGAAATGTACTTTGATGATATCCAGATTAAATGTTGTTGTTGTTGTTATGTGCCGTCAAGTCGGCCCCGACTCATAGCGACCCCTCCTTGGGTTTCCGAGGCAGTATCACTACGGAAGTAGGATTGCCCAACCTTCCTTCCGAGGAGTGGCTGGTGGGTTTGAACCACCAGCCTTCTGGTTAGCAGTCAAGTGCCTTAGGCACTATGCTACCAGAGCTCCAGATTAAATATATATCAAATAAAGGAAACACAGAAAAGTAAAAAGGTTGCTTAAGGAAGAAAAGGTGTCTTTCAAAACCAAAGACACCTCAAATTAAGGAAAACAAGGAACACCAGAGCAAATTAGGTGGACTAAAACATAATTTTAAAAACTGTTTAAAGAGATCTTTAGGCAATGCAAAGAGAGCAGACTCGGGGAGGCCACCTAAATAGGTACATGTAGATTTTGGGGGGTGGGGGAGTGAGGAAAGGAGCACTGAAACTAGGGGGTCACAACCAAAGCCTCTATGCTGAGTGCTTGGAGCTGGAGGGAGGCCTTGCCAGCTCCTTTGGGTAAGGGGTTGCAGAAGCATGAGGTGGAGATGGGATTCTGCTCCTAGAAGTCCTCCCATGTCCCTCTCCTGGTTACTTTCCCCACCCTCCTGCCTTACAGTCTTCTCTTGGAGTTGCTTGTTCTTATTGCCTTCTCAGCTTTCCATTTTCCTCCTCATTTTACTTCCCAAAGTGACTTCTTAGTCCTCCTCAGCTGAGATAGTGTGCTAAAGCATTTCTCTCACTTATAATCACTAATAAAATGACCAACACTCATGTATGATTATTTATTTGGTAATTGTTACACTTCTCAATTTTTTAAGCAGATGATTTGAATCTTTTTAATTTCCTCAAAGCACAAGTACTAAAATGTTTACATATAGCTTTCAGTAGATTTCTATCTGTGAATAGGTTGTTTCCTGATAGGAGAAAATAACAAGTTCTCATTTGATTTAATGTATTAGACCTGTCTGACTGTTGGGCTTCCTGTCAAAGGGAAAATGAAATTAGCAATTCTTAATTGACTGATAATATAAAGTAACTAGGGTGTGGTCTGATTTTAGATTTGCATTTAAGAAATATTATCAAACGTTAACATCGTTTTTGGTATTTGGAAAAGATAATTGGCCCATAAAGCTTGATTCCCTCAGGCTTTTGAACTGATTGTTCTTTTTATACAAATGGAATTAGAAATAGAATGTTGTAGCTTCTCAATTCTCCACTCATAGACCACGTAAGTTCATTTCAGGTCAGAGTCAAGGAATTACTTGCTTTTCTGTTTATAAATAATATCTTCAAAGGACACAGCACAACAGGGTTAGTGTTGTTACTACTGTCAAGTCAGACCCGACTCATAGCAACCTCTCCTTGGGCTTCCGAGGTGGTATCACTACAGAAGTAGATTGCTCAACCTTCCTTCTGAGGAATGGCTCAGGGGGTTGAACTGCCAGCCTTCTGGTTAGCAGTCAAGTGCCTTAGGCACTACATGTGCTAAACTCCTTACAGTATCATTTGGCTACATATATTGAGACTCTCCAGTACACTAAAGACAAAAACCTGAACCCACTTCCATGAACACTTCTGCTACTTCTCAGCTTGCAGCTATCAGGAGGATACAAGTCCATTTTTGTCCCACTTTATTACCACTCCAGTTAATGCGCAAGGGTTCTGGTTTCCCTTCTGAGTCTCAAACACACAACCACTGGCAACTTTGACTTGAGAACTGCAGATAGCTAAAATATTAACTCTTGTATATTTCTTGTAAAGTTTCTCTACTAACTATTCTAGTTAGGCATTCATATAGCTCTGTAAGTAATATGAGGTTATTTGGCATTTATGTTAAACATTCTCCCAAAATACCTTTCACTAATCTTACTATATTTCTGTGACCATCTGTCATGATCAACTCTGTTCTCACCCTTCAACAGCCCTCTGGACATATAGAATACACGCATAAATACACAAATCCAAGTATACAAAGTTTGGATTCTTCTGAAAATATTTTTAAAATTTATTCTCTTTAATCTTTGCTCTCTTCTCCCTTTTCTGTCTCTACAACCCCCACTCACTGACCCCACCCACCTACCAGCAACATAGACAAACCATGCCAGTGTTGTTTGACATGTACTGTTTTATTTGCGTATGTTCCTCTAAAACTTTGGTGGGTTTTTGTTGTGGTGGTAGTGGTGGTTTTGTTCTGGTACATGTATTTTTAAATTTTTTCTTCATGCTTTTAATTATTATGAATATAGTGTATATTCATAGTTTTAAAACTGGTGCAGAAGGATTTACATTGAAAAATCAAAGTTCCACTCCCTGACAATATAACACCCCTTTGTCCACATCCCAAAGTATCAGCATTATGCTTGTGGGTATTTTTTCCAGTATTGGCAACACATACATATTAAGTACTTTAACTTAAGCACTTTAAATATATAGATATTTTAGTTTGCTTTCACAAACTATCAATATTATATTATGCATACTGTTCCTAATCTGAATTAACTTTTTAAATTTTTTTATTTTATATAATTATGCATTCATAGAAAACCAAAACAAACTCACTGCCATTGAGTCGATTCTGACTCATAGTGACCCTGACCCACTTTTGGGTTTCCAGGGTGGTAAACTTTTACAGTAGATTGCCCAGTCTTCCTTCCACAGAGTAGCTGGTGGGTTTGAACCACCAACCTTCTTGTTAGCAGTCAAATGCCTTAGGTACTACACAACCAAAGCTCCTTGAGTTCATAGGTTACAAAAATAATGTACAGAAAGTTTCCATGTACCCTTCACCCTGTTTTCCCCAAGGGTAACATCTTGCATAATTTGCATAACCAGGAAATTAACATTGGTACAATCTCTATTGGTACAATATGAGATCTTATTTACATATCACTAGTTTTATATACACGCATTTGTATATGTATGTGCGCATGTGTGTATGTTTGAGAAGGAGCTCTGGTGACGTGGTGGATGAGGCATTTGGCTGCTAACCAGAAGGTTAGTGGTTTAAACCAACCAGCCACTCCATGGAAGGAAGATGAAGCAATCTACTTCCATAAGGATTTACAATTTCAGAAACCCAATGGGGGTTGCTATGAATCAGAATCTACTTGATGGCAGTGAGTTTGGGTTTTTAATTTTTGTTTTGGTGGTCATGGGTGAGTTCCATGTGCATGTATTTTTAAAATACATAATGTCACTGTGTTAAATATCACTATATTTCTGCTCTCACAGTTTATAGGACCTATCCATGCTACTGGATATACAACTAGTTCAGTGTACTGCTGAAGAGAATCTCCTAGTATGCATCTTCATATAACTTACCCATTCCACAGTCCTGGACACTTATGCTGCTTCCATAAATAATACAGCAACAAATATTCTCACCATGTCTCAACACAAGTTGGGTTGCTGGGGTATTTGTATATTTGGTATAGCACTCAGGACTATCCAGAGACACAGAAGAAATAGTACATATTTATATTAATTCACTGCCATCTAGTCGGATCCAACTCATAGTGACCCCTCCTTGGGTTTCTGAGGCTGTATCACTACGGAAGTAGATTGCCCAACCTTCCTTCCGAGGAGAGGCTGGTGGGTTTGAACCACCAGCTTTCTGATTAGCAGTCAAATGCCTTAGACACTACGCCACCAGAGCTCCTAAACTAGACAGACTGGATTTCCCAGACTCCTCTTTCTTTTTCACATAAAAACATCACTGCTCTCAGTGATCTCCTTTTTTTTTTTTTTTTTTAATTGTGATTTGGGTGAAAATTTACAGAGCAAATTCACTTTCCATACAGTAGTTCACATATACTTTGTCTCATGACATTGAGTACAATTTACCACAATGGAACAGCACCCCTCTCACTTCCTCCCCATAGTTACCTCTTCCCTATGTCCTTTTCTCCATGCACTCCTGCCCCTGAGCTATGTCCCTGTGCATACACAGCCCTTCTTTCTCCCATGTTTGTTCTCTCCAAGGGTTGTATCTACCTAGTGTAAATGTTCACCTCATATGCCTGTCTTTTCTTTGGCTGGAAGCCACAGGTGTGGGTTCAATTCCAGACCTGAAGGGCAGCTAGGGGCCATAGTCTCAGTGGTTCCATCAGGCTCTATCAGACGAGGAAACCTGGTCCCTTTTTCTTTTTTTTTTTCTTTTTCCAAATGATTGTGAGTTTTTTTTCCATATTGTTCTCCCACTCTATCCAGGATCTCCTACATCTCATTTGCATTCCCTGTGGTGTATTGCTTTGTGACAGAATAGTCAAATGGATTATTTAGGCATCAGCTTTTCTGCTCATCTGAGCCCTCTTAGTGAGAGTGTAGTGCTGTCCTGGTTCTGAATCCTGCAATAGAATCCTCTAACACTTTGTACGGGAGCTCTGGTAGCATAGTGGCTAAGACACTTGCCTGCTAACCAGACGGCTGGCGGTTCAAACCCACCAGCCACTCCTCGGAAGGAAGGTTGGGCAATCCTACTTCCGTAGTGATACTGCCTCGGAAACCCAAGGAGGGGTCGCTATGAGTCGGGGCCGACTCGACGGCACATAACAACAACAACAACAACAACAACACTTTGTACAAAATGAAGGTAGAGGGTAGCAAAGCTACAGCAATGTGTCTCATGAACCAGTAAGTGGGATAATATTTTTTAACTTAGCAAATTTATTTTTCAGTGTTGACAGAGAATGACACCACCTTTATTCATTGCTTCCTATTGAGTCATTCATTTAAACATCTTCCATGAAACCCATAGCCTTTATTTGATACGTTATCATATGGAATTATCAGTTGAACATAGGTGCCTACTAGAAATTTAAGAAAACTAAACTTATTAATAAAACAAAACAATGCAAAACACCCCAACAAACCTGTCAGTGCTGAGTCATGGTGACGTCATGCATTACACTCATGTGTTAAAGTGTAGAACTGCTCCATAGGGTTTTCTTGGCTCTAATCTCTGCAGGCCTTTCTTCCACAGTGCCACTGAGAAGATTTGAACCACCAATCTTTAAGATAGTGGACAATCACAAACCTCTGCACCACCCAAGGACCTAAATTTATTAATAGATGAATTAATAAGTCAACAATCAGTGGGCTATAATGAAAAACAAGAAAGCTATCTAGTGTTGTAAATATAAAAATAATCCTAATTACTGAATAAACCCTGGTGGCACAGTGCTTAACTGCTAACAAAAAGGTTGGCAGTTCCAACCCACTAGCTACTCTGTGGGAGAAAGATGTGGCAGGCTGCTTCTGTAAAGATTTATAGCCTTAAAAACCCTCTGGGGCAGTTCGACTCTGTCCTATAGGGTCACTATGGGTCAGAATATGACTTGACAGCAATGGGTGGTGGTAGGAGTAGTATTAGTAATTGTATATGATATGAAATGGAGTAATTCATTTGCAAAAGTCAGGAGTTAATTTGAGAATGGAAAATGGCCGTGCAATATGACCATACCTATTGCAAAGACAGGAGCTCTGGTAGCATAGTGCCTAAGGCACTTGACTGCTAACCAGAAGGCTGGCAGTTCAAACCCACCAGCCCCTCCTCGGAAGGAAGATGAGGCAATCTACTTTCTTAGTGATAACTGCCTCAGAAACCCAAGGAGGGGTCACTATGAGTTGGGTCCGACTCGATGGCACATAACAACAACAACATTGCAGTGACAGCCACCAGGCTGGTGAGTTCTGAGTATTTACAGCTGACCAGTATGTATCTCCTACTCTCTTTTACACTGTTTCCAGACACCCTTGCATTTAGCAGTGATCACCAAGCAAGAAGATGTGGTGGAGGACTTACTAAGGGCCAGGGCTGACCTGAGTCTTCTGGACCGCTTTGGTAACTCTGTTTTACACCTTGCTGCCAAAGAAGGACATGATAAAATCCTCAGTATCTTACTCAAGCACAAAAAGGCAGCACTACTTATCAACCACCCCAATGGGGAAGGTAAGAGACAATCAGATGTTGTGGTTTAACTCTCTCTACCAGTTTTCTAAATAACTGCCAGGTATTTGATAAAGGCATGCTATTTGATTTGCACCCCAGAGTGCTTTCCTTAGTCACCTGGAGTTCATCATCTCTCATGGATATTTCTGTGCTTGTCATAGCTAATTCCTTCAAAGATGATTTGGAATAGTTTTGTCAGTAGAAGGAAAAGACAAAGGCAAGCTGGGTGGTGGAAATACAGATTAATTTTTTCCCCTTTTCTATGCTCTCTGTAATCATTGGATATTTGGACATGAACATAAAGAAAAAGAATAGATGTTATTTTAAAAATAATGTTTATAAACCTTTGCAATAACAAAAGGAAGGGAAGGAAGGAGAGAGGGAGGGAAGAAGGAAGGAAGAGAGGGAGGAAGGCAGGAAGGGACAGACCTGAGCATATGCTGGTCTGTAAGTGTATGAAGCACAGTTTATTCAGAGAATGTTTATTTGCTTTCATTATCTCTTGAGGACATAATGGGAGACTGTGGGATTCAATTTAAATGCAGCACAATGAACTTACAGTGCCTGTAAAGAACATCTTGAGTAGAGACTCTTTCAGCACTAGAAGTGGAATAAACCATTTCCATCAGCTTCAGGGAGGGCCTTCTTGTGAGCAACCTTCCTACCCCCATAGCTGCCTCTCTGCTTGCCCCATAGGTCTGAATCCCATTCACTTAGCCATGATGAGCAACAGCATGCCATGTCTGCGGCTGCTGGTGGCCGCCGGCGCAGACGTAGACGCTCAAGAGCAGAAGTCTGGGCGCACAGCACTGCACTTGGCTGTGGAGCATGACAACATCTCCTTGGCTGGCTGCCTGCTCCTAGAGGTGAAGGACACTTACTCATCTTTGCATTAAATTCCCAAGGAGGATTTCATAAAATGGGTAGTGCAGTTAATGCTTGGCTGCTCCAGAAAGATTGGCCTTTCAGGTTCACCCAGAGGTGCCTCAGGAAATGTCTGGCAGTCTGCTTCCAAAAACTCAGCCATTGAAAACTCTATGGAGCATAGTTCTACTCTGACACACATGGGGTCTCCAGGTGTTAGAGTTGCTCAACCTGAACTGGCTTGCTTTCAAAGAATGAGGTCATTAACTTTTCTCCCTACACTCAGTTCCTTTTATTTAAAGTCTCTGCAAAGCTTAAGAGTAGCAGCTTCAGGGATTTCCCCCAAGCATGTCTCACTGGGAATTTCTTCAATCACAGAGCCAGCCCAAAAGAGAAACTGGATTGGTAAGATGACCCAAGGGGCCATGCAGACAGAGAGAGGTAGGGACAAAAGAGGAACAACAGCAACAACAAAACCTTCACTAACCCTTTTCTGTGTGGGCTGGATTTTAGGGTGATGCTCATGTGGATAGTACCACTTTTGATGGAACGACACCCTTGCACATAGCGGCCGGGAGAGGATCCACAAGGTTGGCAGCACTTCTCAAAGCAGCAGGTAAGGCAACCTGGCAGTCTTTGATGGAAAATGTCACCAGCAATACAAACCCCACCTAATGCAACAAGTAGAACAGCAGTGTCACCTTCTTTAAGCCACAGACCTGCTGCTGAAAGGCATGGGTAAATAATATGGTAAATCATATTTAAACTGCCATAAAGCCACTGTTTAGACTAGTAATCCTGGGCTTCATTGTGATACTCATTTTCATATTTACTCTCTAATTCATCTGTTTGTTTTGGGTTTTGGTTGTGTAGCTTGAATCAGTGACAGGGGCTCTTAAAACGGAATTTAATAGAGGGAATTCTGGGTAGTTCCAGTCTCATATCAAGTCAGAAGTCCCCAGAAGAAAAAGTTTATTGATAATAGGAAATAATTTAAAGACCTTCTTTTACAAGAAAAGAAGCTACGGTGGCATAGTGGTTAAAGCATTTGGCTACTAATCAGAAGGTCAGCACCCCAGATGCTCCATAGGAAAGCAATGAGGCAGTCTGCTTCTGTAAAGATTTACACCTTTAGAAACCCTATGGGGCAGTTCTACTCTGTCCTACAGGGTCACTCTAAGTTGGAATCAACTTGATGGCAATGAGTTTGGGTTTTTCTTTTTACAAGTTGAAATAATAGGAAAAATCAGATTTGCTGTGTACTGAGTTCTCCTATGTTCAAGGCACTAGAATAAAAATTGCTAGTTCTTATTGACCTTAAGGAGCTCTGGTGGCACGATAGTTAAGGCATTTGGCTGCTAACCAAAAGGTCAGAGGTTCAGCACCAGCTGTTCTGCAGGAGAAAGATAAGGCAGTCTGCTTCTGTGAAGCTTACACCCTTGGAAATGCTATGGAGCAGTTAGTTCTACTCTGTCTAGTAGGGTCACTAGGGGTCAGAATTGACTTAGTGGCAGTGGGTTTGGTTTATTTTTTTATTTTATTTTTATTTTATTTTTACTGACCCTAGCCCTAGGCTGCTAACAGAAAGGTCAGCAGTTTGAACTCACCAGCCTCTTAGTGAGGGAAAGATGCAGTCTGCCTGCATAAAGATTATGGCCTTAGAAACCATATGGGTCAATTCTCCTCTGTCCTATAGAGTGGCTATGAGTTGGAAGCAACGAGATGGCAATGAGTTGATTTTTTTTTTTCTTTTTCCTTAGTTTTTTAATGTGGTTTTTTGGGGGATTGACCTTTCTATGAACAAGGCACTGTGCTAGGCATTTTATATGCACTGTCTCATGTAATTTTCTCAATAAACCTTGGAGAAAAATATCATTATTATTGTTCCCATTTGATATCAAAGGAAACAGACTAGAGAGACTGGGGCCCAGTCCCAGAGTCCAAGTTAGTGGTAGAGTTGTGATCAGACCCAGCCATCTGAACTTCAAAACTATTTTTTCGTTACTGTGTTTGTCTCCTCTGTTATGATCACCAATTTGCAGATGTTATTCCACTAAATCTTCATTAAAACCTTGAGAAGTATATAAAAATATTATACTGCTCATCCTTGACTCTCCAATGCATTGCATATTTAGAACAACCAAAAACATGTTTAGTGATAATATCTCAAGCCTGCCTGACGTGTTTGATTTGTTTTAGAGGATTTTTTAAATGTTTTAGAAGATAAGTGCTTCATAAATTCAAGAAAACAAAGCAGTGTGAAATATCTTAAAAAAATCAGCCCAGTAACGTTCAGCCATAAGGAGAAATGAAGCCGTGAAGCATGCTGTAACATGAATGAACCTTGAAAACATTATGCTGAGCGAAATAAGTTGATCACAAAAAGACAAATATTGTATCATCTCACTCATATGAAATAACAATAGGCAAATGTATAGAGACCAAAGTTTATTTGTAGTTACCAGGGCAGGGTAAAGGGAAAATCATTGTTTAGGAAGCAGTGTATTTGTGTTTATGGTGATGGGAAATTTGGCAATGATTATGGGTTATGGTTGCACAACATGATTAGTGTAATTGGTATCACTACATTGTATACCTGAAAAATGTTGAATTTGCAAATGTTGTGGTATATATATTTTTACAACAATTAAAAAAAAAAAATCAGTCCAGGAAGATGTAGGAACTTTTTCTTTAGGGCCATCACATTTTTCTGACAAGTAAAATCATATCCCAAATAAACAACATCCTTATCTTTTCTCCTTTGTCCTTTTCTTGAACAAGAGACTCTGATTGCAGTATGTATGAATAAGTGTGTATGAATAGTTTTAGAAGTTATTTGTTAAAATTAAGAAATGCCTTCAGACAACAAGCCATCACCCTTTCAAAAAAATGCCTTCTCTTGAATTCTCAGAATCCCATGAAAGGACTAGCAAGGAGCAATTTCTCCAATATATACATGAAGAAATTCAGATGAAAAACCTCATCCTGTGCTCAGAATCATGAAGATGAGTCCTCAGGAACAGATGTAGTTTGATTCCTCTGGTCTTCTGTCCTATAAATCATTTAAGTTGGTCACTCCATTGTTTTCATGGTTAGGTTACATTTACTGCTTCATAGATCAGGCCAGGACTGAGAGAGTGAAATAAGGATATAGCACCAATATCCTTCTTTGACACTCATTAGACACTCCCATTCCTGAAGTTGACACAAACCAAATTTTCTCCCAGCAATATAAAAACAAGTTCCTCTTACCAAAAGGGTGTGCTGAACTTACAACTGTTCATTAGGTATCAAGCTAAACACTCTCTCATTAACATTGTCTCTTACCCTTTCAGAAGTAACTCGAGCTCTAATCTTTGAGGGGCTTTAGATGTTTTCTTGCTGGGAACAAAAGAACAGATTAGATTTCCTAAGAGCCAGCAGCCAGTTTCAAAAACTATACAGACTAACAAAAATTTCTTATGTTTAGCTATTTTTGGTGTTTTTTTGTTGTTGCTGTTTGTTTAAGGATCAATACTGTACCCAGGTATAAAACTGAATATGTTGTTTCCAGACATCAGGCATCTTTGCTCTTTTGAGTGATTGAAAAGAGGCTGAGAAAATGTGCACTTGCATGCATAAATTTGAATATTTAGGTCCTCAATCCAGAGAGTGTGTCTAGTCTCTCTAAACTCCTGTCCATTAACCCCCAGATTAAAGGTACATCATTCAGCTGGAAAAATCCTAGAAAGCTATATGTGAAATTAAAATTACTCAGTTTTTTGTTTTAAATAGTGTCCTTTGATTATCTCTCACTGCCATAGAGTTGGATCTGACTCAAAGCAACCCCTCCTTGGGTTTCCGAGGCAGTATCACTCTCTGGTGGCATAGTGCCTAAGACATTTGACAGCTAACCAGAAGGCTGGCAGTTCCGACTCACCAGCCACTCCTCAGAAGGAAGATTAGGCAATCTGTTTCCATAGAGATACTGCCTCGGAAACCCAAGGAGGGGTCACTATGAGTCAGATCCGATGAAACCCAAGGAGGGGTCGCTATAAGTCAGATCCGACTTAATGGCAGTGAGTTTGGTTATTTTGGTTTTTGATTATCTCGGGTATCATAAAATATCTTTATAGTCCAAATAAATTAGAAATTAAAAGAATCTTTCTGCATATTTCGGTAAGAATAAGTTTTATAAATTAAAAATTATCCAAGTAATTGTATCTCACTGCTCTTGTGCTTTGCCTTTGGAATTCTGACCCCTGGAAGTGGTTAGTGGGAGCTCTGGTGGTATAGTGCCTAAGGCATTTGACTGCTAACCAGAAGGCTGGTGGTTCAAACCCACCAGCCACTCCTTGGAAGGAAGATCAGGCAATCTACTTCCATAGTTAGCCTTGGAAACCAAAGGAGGGGTCACTATGATTGGGGCCTACTCAATGGCTCAATGGTAGTGAGTTGGGTTTTTTTGGTGCAAATGGTTAGAAGTTGACAAGATCTGAGTTTACCTAATGCCGTGTATCTTAACTTCTCAGGAGCAGATCCTCTGGTGGAGAACTTTGAGCCTCTCTATGACCTGGATGACTCTTGGGAAAAGGATGGAGAGGATGAAGGAGTTGTGCCTGGAACCACACCTTTAGATATGGCTGCCAACTGGCAGGTGAGTGGTGCTGCAATCTGTGTGCTGGCTGCTCCTGAGTTAGCTAAAGGTTCAAGAAAGTAAGGATAGATGGTCTTTCTGGTTCTTAATTCCCCAAAGAACATGACTTTTATTTTTAAGAAAGTCTAATTGTCAACAGCCATATTTATCTTGGAACCTATCCTTGAAAGATCTAGGTCAGCTGAGTTCTGGGTGTTAAAGGGATGCCTAATCAGATCAGAGTTAAGATTTGACAGACAGTTAGAAAAGAAAAAACACAAAATTCACAGAAGACCTTTCCATCCTCAACTCACACCAGCGTTGTTACCACCTAAATTTCTGAAGCGAGGGGAAGGAAATATGATGGTTTGCTGAGAATTTAACTAGCTTATTTCTGAAAGTAAAAAGAAGCTGGAAATTCCTCTGAGCATGCCAATAATTATAAACAGAATAATCAGATTTAAAACCTTTCTCAAAACTCCACTGACTGAGATCTGAGGGTGAAAACAGTTACTAGGTCTTCCTGGCCCAGGGAGAAGAGCCACAGGAAGGAGGTGGGCAGCATACAGATGTCCAGCAAAAAAATTCAGTTTCTCAGGGGCAAGTGCTACTCTGCATCCAATACCAGCTCTGTGTAGCCCTTTGCTGTTGAGCCAGATGACCCTGAGAGACCACATAGTTCTCCCTTTTTAGCACCTCATTTCCCCAGGCCTCACCACAGAACATAAAACAATAACCACTTCAGTGACCCAGTATTGTCCTTACCCAGGTTAGCCAACAACAAAGGGACTACAAAAAATACTTCCACAGGTCTATCTAAAATTCCTCACTTACAGTTTTGGTGAGTTTTTTTTGTTGTTGTTTTTTTTAAGGTTACACTGGCCCCTCAGTTGAAATGTAAATTATGCTAGAAGGCTAACACCAAATCTTCAAAGCATTATATACCTTAATGTGAGCACATTTATGACATTCAGTCTCATAAACCTCTTACTAGGGAAGAGGGGCCAACAAGGGAACACAGTGTCACAGTTTTGAGTAAATTCATCCCTGGCCTTCACTCTCAAGGAGATATCACTGACCCAGGACTCTCTGACCAAGATATGGCTGACTTAGTGGCCTGAGCTGCCATTGTCCCTCAGAAAAGGCTTGGCTCTGACTCTCCATGAGGTTGGCAAGCCCTCTCCATGAGGTTAGGTTTGATACCCCCACCTCAGGCAGTTCCTATAGAGCATAGCCTCCCTACTCCAGAACTCCCAAAGTTATGAAGAAAGGACATGTATGCCCAGTGATGGCACCGACTCCTCTTTTCCATTCCTCCGTCTTTGGAATACTAAAACTTCTAAGAAGGACGTGCTGAGTAATTTATCACAAAGAATCAGAGTACCCTAGTGGTTCAGTTAATATGTTAATATTTTCCCATGTTTTTCTTTCCAACAGGTTTTTGACATATTAAATGGGAAACCATATGAGTCAGAGTTTACGTCAGATGATTTATTGGCACAAGGTGGGTTGTGATAGAACCACAGTTCTCTTAAGTCATACTGTATACACATTGCTATTTAAGGAGGGGGCATGGAATTGGCAAGGAGCCTTGGTGGTGCAATGGTTAAGTGCTTAACTGCTAACTAAAAGGTTGGTGGTTCAAACTCACCCAGCAGCTCCATGAGAGAAAAGACCTAGCAATCTAGTCCCATATATTTTACAACCTAGGAAACCCTAGGAGGAGATCATGCTTGGTAAAGTGGAGGATCAGTGAAAAAGGGGAAGACTCCCAGTGAGATAGATTGACACAGTGGCTGCAGCGATGGGCTTAAGCATAGCAAGGATTATGAAGATGGTGCAGGACCAGGCAGGGTTTCTTTCTGTTGCACATAGTGTCGCTATGAGATGGAGCCGACTCACAGTACCTAACAACAACAGAAAACTCTATGAGACGGTTCTGTTATTTAGAGTTGGTACAGGTTGGAATTGACTTGATGAGACACAACAACCTGGAACTGACATTCTCCAGTGTTTACTCTGACAGGCACAGATGCTTATTTCAGACCCAGAAGACCCTGGAAGTATACTAAGGGGGATATCCAGTTTTAATGTTGTTGTTGTTGTTGTTATGTGCCATCGAGTCGGACTCAACTCATAGTGATCCCTCCTTGAGTTTCCAAGGCAGTATCACTACGGAAGTAGATTGCCCCATCTTCCTTCCGAGGAGTAGCTGGTGGGTTTGAACCGCCAGCCTTCTGGTTAGCAGTCAAGTGCTTTTAGCCACTATGCTACCAGAGCTCCCAGTATTAATCTAGTAAAATTATATACTGATATTACTTAGCTGGGCTGTGCTGACATTCAAGTAAAGTAGCTTGATTGCTTCCATTGGGAGAAGGAGAGACAACAGGGTAGCAATGATCCATCCAGTCAGAGTGTCTCTGGTAAGTTACAGCAGATGTGTTTCTTCTTCATTTTCTTCAGGAGACATGAAACAGCTGACTGAAGATGTAAAGTTGCAGCTTTACAAGTTGCTAGAAATTCCTGATCCAGACAAAAACTGGGCCACCCTGGCCCAGAAATTAGGACTGGGGATACTTAACAATGCCTTCCGGCTGAGCCCTGCTCCTTCTAAAACTCTTATGGACAACTATGAGGTAACATATTACCTTGCATATTTCACTGTTTTTATTTGACATTACTCTGTTAGGATCACTGGCCAGGTCATAACCCCTTCCCTCTCGATTAACTCTGAGGAAGAAAAACAGTCCTTGCCTATGGCAAGGGGAGGACAACCTAGCCAGAATGGAAGCCCACCTGTCTAAAAAGTCTATTTTTGTGTACTTTTGAGATTTTCCTAGAGTCCCTGAGAAAATACTACTTAGAGGGTCAGGATTGTCATAGAACTTTGATCCCCCCTGAACAAACAGGATAGACTACAATCAACATACTTACCTTCTTGCCCGCAAAACGATGTCTTGACCATGTGTCAGGATATGCAGTCATCTTTCTGTGAAGTGGCTCCTAGCAGAGCCATGCTTTCATTTCTAAAAATATAAGGTAGAAAAACATGGGGTGAAATTATTTTCTATTGAAAATGTCATTGTTAGCTATCGTTTCTCAGTGGTTCTTAGAGTTTCAGTTTACACAGGGATACTGCTTAAATTTGACTCTAGGTAGGGTTTCAACATCTCAGCAATTTTCTCTCTCTGTGTGCTTACTTCAAACTACTTCTCTGTGATTTCCTAAGTGGTCTTTGAGCTGAAACAGGAAACTAGATTCAAAGATTATATTTTCTTTGCCACTCTTCTCTGACCTTTGCAATAGCACCTGGCTCTCTGAGTAGAGGAGACAGTGTGAAGGAGGGGAAGGGGTGTGGTGCGGGTGTTCACAGCCTGTCCCTGAGTTGTTCTAAGCACAGAGGTTTGAGCACAGAGTAGGTTCGTTCTTCATTTGTTTCTCACAGGTCTCTGGAGGGACAATAAAGGAGCTAGTGGAGGCCCTGAGACAAATGGGCTACACAGAAGCAATTGAAGTCATTCAGACAGCCTTCAGCAGCTTGGGAACAGCAGCCACCAGCTCAGCGAAGACAGTCTCTCATGCCCACTCAATGCCTCTCTCTCCTTCCTCAATAAGGCAGAAAATAGGTAAGTAAAAGTGACAGGAAAAGCAGTTGAGATATTCCCTGCTACCCTAGGCCAGTGTCTCCACTTCTGGGATATGGCATCGCAGTTTCCCCCTTGTCATCCCCTGAATATACTTTCCTACGCATCTGTCTGCCAGACGGCTGGCGGTTCAAACCCACCAGCCACTCCTCGGAAGGAAGGTTGGGCATTCCTACTTCCATAGTGATACTGCCTCGGAAACCCAAGGAGGGGTCGCTATGAGTCGGGGCCGACTTGATGGCAAATAACAACAACAACATGCATCTGTCTACCCGTAGAGCTCAGGAGCTCCACCTTCTGCCCCTCTTGACACTGCAGTTCAGGTGAACAATGACACAATCACAGGATTTCCTTAAAATCACAATATATAATAAAAACTAAATAATGAGGTGGTTAAGGTAAATATTATTTCTCTAATTTCTTAAATTAAAAAAAAAAGAGAGAGAGCCCAAGGACTAGCACGCAGGACTTCAGACTGATCCTGTAATTTTTCCCACTGTACTCCCCCTCAGTTCCTCAGGCTCCTCACCACCAGTAAGCTCCTTCTCACTTCAGCTCCTCTTACTTTGCTTCTAACATGGGCCTTATCTTCTGCCATTAACTGTGTCATCTTTCATCACACCTAAAAAACACATATCCATATGGAATGGACTCTTAACACAACCCATATGTTAATAATCCTATGTGTTCCTATAATTTTTGTCTTTCACTCTCTAAACAACCATGTCTTAGATATCTAGTGCTGCTATAATAGAGATACCACAGCTGGGTGGCTTTACTGAATAGAAGTGTATTATCCCACAGTTTAGGAAGCTAGAAGTTTGAATTCAAAGTTCTGGCTCTCAGGAAAGGCTTTGTTTCTCTCTTTGTCAGCTCGGGAGGAAGATCCTTGTCTCTTCAGTGTCTGCTTCCTGGGCTTACGTGCTCTGTTACTTGGCATCTGTCTTACCCCATCTCTGCTCTGCTCACTTGTTTAATCTCTTTTATATTTCAAAAGAGATTAATTTAGGTATACCCTATATTAATCCTGCCTCATTCACATAACAAAGACAGCCCATTCCCAAATGGGATTATAATCACAGGCATAAAGGCTAGGATTTACAACACATATTTTAGGGGGACATAATTTGATCCATAAGGAACCATTTCATGCTTTCTCTTTCTAAACCCCTGAAATCTCTTCCCTCTCCTCACTCACCCTTGCCTTCACTCCACTAAAACATAGAAACAATTCACACTTCCTTATCTTTGAACTTGTCAAATCAACCAACCTACTTGTGCCTGTGGCTACGTTGTCTGCCCCACATCAGGTTTCAGTGGGTTAAATGGGTGCCTGTTGAAGAGCACCCTGCCCCCTGGCGTACCTTCTCTGTCTTCCCAGGTCCTTACTTCTAGAATTCTTCTCTCTCTTTTGTGTTAGTAGTTTCTCACTCCCAACAGGATCACCTAGCCAAGAATGCAATAATTTCCCTTGTCTTTAGAAACAAAACAAGGCACACAGAAAAAGCACTCCCTTCATCCCACATCTACAGCCCAATTTCTGTTTCAGCAGAACTTCTCGTAAGTTTTAGAGTTGTTCTTTCTAACGCTTCACTTCTTTTCTCTATGTGACCCCTGTATTGAGGATTCCATCCTTCCTACTCTACCTATGAAGACTGATAGCCACCACATTGCCACATACAGTCATCCCTTCTCATTTTCTTGACCATTCATAGTGGGAGACACAGCCAGCAACCATTCCTCCTACTTAAACCATCCCCACTCTTGGCCTTTCCACAGTACATTCACTTGTGTGTCCTCCAACTTTGCAGTTCCTACTGTGTGGTGCTCTTTGCAGCCTCCTCCACATTCACGTTTAAAATCATAGAGCCTAAGCTCAGTCCTTGGCCCACCATACTTCTCTAAGTGGAACTCTTGAAACACCCACCTAAACTCAGTATTGGCCCTGATGGTCCAGCACTGCCCCTTTCTAAAAGGCTAAGACAAAAGTCTAAGAATTCTTCATGAATACTTACTTGCTCTCACCCCCTCACATCCAATCCATCAAGGACTTCTCCCATCTACAGCCATCACTCTGATCTTCTACCTTGATTCTTGGAGCTCCTAACTGACCTCCCAGTGTTCATTCTGTCCACCTCTCTTTAGGCCGTTCTCTGTATAACAATGAATGTGAGTTTTTTAAAAATTGATGAGATCATCCTCTAGTTTATTCCTTCATTCGGCAAAACTTTACTGAGCGCCTACTTTGTGTCTGGCACTGTTTAAGGCTTTAAAGATAAAGCTGTTAAAGTAAAGACATTGTTCCTGCCTTACCCCATTCTCTTATCTTAAATGTTACTTTAATGCACTCTTCTTCCCACTCCACTACCCTGTAAGCTCCCAAGATGTTTCTTTTGTTCTCCAAGCTCTCAAGACTGACTGAGCCTTATGGCCTTTGAACTGTCTCTTCTTGTTCCCTGAAAAGCTCCTTACCTGGCTGCTTCTTTCTTGCCATTTTATTTTGCTGCCAATTTCACCTCTTTGGAGGGACCTTCTTAGGGGGAAATAAGTGTTCACTATAGAAAGTAATAATTTATCCACCAGGAAAATATCTCAATCTCTTGTTTATCATGGCCTGGTACTCCTTCCACACAAATACCCAAGGAATAAGTAAATATTTATATCTCAAAAAGAACCAAGTCCTTAATTTGTAGTTATTTTCAAAATAACTTCACAGTTACTAGCACATAATAGATACTCAATAAAGATTGGTGGATTGCATAAATTGATGAATAATGAAATAGTGGTTGTGCCATTGCCATTGAAGCTTTAATATTCTCATATTAGAATTCCATATATAAGAAAATAGCATTCTTATTTGTGTATATTAAATTTCTGTTTCGTTGGCTACTCTCAAAACATAGGAAATCATTCCCATTGTTCAGAACCCTAACGATACTTCTCTTAACAAGAGGAGTTTGACCTGATTTTCCTGTATAAATTCAGCTTCATCAAAATCACCAGGATTTTTAGAAGTGGTGTATAGGGTTTAATAAGGAGCTCGGGTGACACAGTGCCTAAGGCACTTGACTGCTAACCAGAAGATTGGCGGTTCAAACCTACTAGTGGCTCTGTGGAAGAAAGATGAGGCAGTCTACTTCTGCAAAGATTTACTGCCTTAGAAACCCTGTGGGGGTCACTATGAGTCAGAATGGACATGATGGCAGTGCATTTGGTTTTTTGTTTTTGTTCATATAGGGTTTAATAGCATATGAGGCCCAGAGAGGTACCTCGTTTTTGTTCCTTCTTCTGTTGCTGATTTATTTTGCCTAGGCTCAGCAATTTCCCTAGCTATGAAGAGAATAATACAGTTGTCAGAAAAACACCTAATTTCTAAGGAAAAAAAATGTGCACTATGAGTCAAGAGAACTCAAGAAGGATTCTGATAAACATAAGGCTAAATCAGCATTAGTTTCCCAGGGCTGGCATAACAAAGTACCACAGACTGGGTGGCTTAAAACAGTAGACATTTTTTCTCTCACTGAGTTCTCTCTTCTAAGTTCTGGAGGTCAGAAGTCCAAGATCAAGGTGTCAGCAGCACCATGCTGCCTCGAAGGCACTAGCAGAAGCATCCTTCCTTGCCTTTTTGATTGCCAGCAATTCTTGGTGTTCCTTGGCATATAACTACATCCCTCTAATGTCTGTCTTCACATGGACTTTTTCCCTCTGTCTGTGTCTGTGTATCTATGTCCAAATCTCCTCCTCTTATAAGAACTCAGTCTTACTGGATTTAGGGCCTACTCTAATTCAGTATGTCCTCATCTTGAATAATTACATCCCAAAGACTCTATTTCCCAATTCTGAGATTCTAAGTGGACATGGATTTTAGGAACACTGTTCAACCCACTATAGCTAGATTGAGAGTTCTGGTAGTGTAGTGCCTAAGGCACTTGACTGCTAACCAGAAGGCTGGTAGTTCAAACCCACCAGCCACTCCTTGGAAGGAAGGTTGGGCAATCTACTTCCATAGTGATACCGCCTCGGAAACCCAAGGAGGGGTCGCTATGAGTCGGGTCCGACCCAACGGCACATAACAACAACATAGCTAGATTATAAGAGAAAGATATGAAAGTGTGACTAATTCAGATGTCACCACAGTTTTTATGTTAACAGTGTAATTTCATATTAATAATTATTATTAATAGAATATTTCTTTTACTGCTTCTCCCACCATGTGAACAGTAGTCTGGAGCAGGGGACTGAGTAGGTGGGATATAGTGATTATTGAAGGTAAGGGGCATGTGTGATCCACATACGCCATTTAGATTTAAATTTGAGCCCTGCTGGAGTGTAAGGCATGTCAGAGCAGCGCTTTTGCCATGCTCCCAGCTGTGCCCTAGTAAATTCACATTTTCTCCCCTCAGATGAGCTCCGAGACAACGAAAGCATCTGTGACAGTGGCGTGGAGACCTCCTTCCGCAAACTCAGCTTCACAGAGTCTCTGACCAGCAGCAGCTCATTGCTAACTCTGAACAAAATGCCCCACGATTATGGGCAGCAGGGATCTATAGAAGGCAACGTTTAACCTGCTGACAATTTTCAACACTGTGCAAACCAAAGCCCTAAAATTCCACTGCAGTTGTCCAAAAGAAGAAATATAAAGTGCATCCAAAGGTGCTCAGAGGAAAACCAGCCTGCTTGAATCACTCCGGATTTAATTCAAAGCCTTTTAAACTGGCTTCCTTTCTTGGTTCCTACATGATTTTTAATTCAGTTCACTTACAGGTAGTCTCTAGCAATCACATCACTCAGCTGGGCTGAAGCATCGTTGGGGGTGAGGTAGCTTATTGAGCTTTACCAGCTGCTAATGGATTACAGTTGCTTTCTGTCACTGTTGCTGCTGTCCCTCTGCTGCATCCCCATGTCATGAGAAGGTGTCAGAGTCCCCATCTGATAGCCCTTCCAGCCGTCCACAGCACAGTCGTGCATTCAGATTAAGGGTTAAAAAAAGGGATGTTTTAAAATGAAAGTCATTCAGTGTACAATTTTAAAAAAGGCTTATTGCTTTTTCAAATGTGGTTATCTCTGTGATTTGGAAAAAAAAAAATGTACATTCAATATTTAAACATGGTTACAATCAGTGCTGAAAATGGTATTTTCCCCTTTTTCTGCATTTTGCTATTGTAAATATGTTTTTTAGATCAAATACTTTAAGGAAATATGTTGGATTTATAAATGCTATTTTTTATTTTACTTTTATAATAAAAGGAAAAGCAAACTGATGACTTTACCTTGTTTGATCTCTGCCAATACTTTTCTAAGATGATTAATTATAGTCATGGGGATCACATTCTCCTTTATATAATATATATAATTTATATAATTATAGCCATGGGGATCAAGTTCTTGATCCAGAAATGAAAAAAGCAAAGGTGTTTTCGCTTCAGATGAAAGCTTTCAGTTTATCAAATCCTTGTCTGGCTCATCTTATTTAGGCTGTCTAGCCTCACCTTCCTCCATCTTTCATAAAACTGCACCTCCTCACCATGTTCTCGATGCCACCATGATACATAAAGTATTGAAAACTTCAACATCCAGGAGGGTCTTGGTCAAGGAGACTTCCACCATGAAGCCTTGCTGAACTGCCCTTCACTCAGAGTTAGAAACAAAGTTGAGGAAAAACTCATACGTGTTTGAATGAGGTGTGGACATGTGATGCACAACCAAGATGGCTCTGTAACAGAGGACTTGTTGGCCCAGTCCCTAGAAGTTCACCCTGCAAACAGCCTTCTGGCTGTCCACTCCTTCAGAGATTGCCTCAGCTGCAGAGAACCTCCTGGCTCCAGGTCACATCCATTTCCATGGTGGTCCACTTGTAGGAACTGATGCCTGTTGGTGTATAAAGTTGTCCAATGCAGGACAACTCTGAAAGGCTGTTGGAACTCCAGAACCCTCCATGAGGTTGGCTGTGGTTGCTGTTTGGGTCTACAATGCAGCGTCTCCCTTTGCCCAGCCCAGCTGCCTGCTCTTCCCTTCCGCAGGTGTCAATCCTGAGGGCACACCCATGTAAACATCCTGCACACTAATTTCCATCTCTGAGTCTGCTTCCCAGGAAACCCAACCTATACAGGTATTGCCAACTATGCTGAGAAATGTTGTGCAACGTATCAAGTCAGTTTATGTTGAAAATAACCCAAGAATGTATATAGAATTACTGTCCCCAATTGATAGCAAAACTAAGAGAGTTCAAGTAGGCTAAGGTTAAAGCAGTTTCTGAGTTGATCTATCTGAATCCAAAGTTGGGATATTATCATAGTAAGTTAAGAAGAATATGAAAATAACTGAGGCTAGAACTAGTCTCCAGGATATGTAGGTATTTAGTATTTGATGAACTGGAATTTCAAATCACTGAGGAAAAGATGACTATTAGAAAACTAGATGTTCCATCTAGTTATCACTTGGGGAGAAAAAAAAATCAGAACCCCCACCTCCCTCCTTTAATCAAAATAATGTCTAGATATATACAAAATTAGACTATAAAAATACTAGAAATGCCAGAAAGCATGAATGAATAACTGTGAAGTAGGGAAAGCCTTTCTAAGCAAGACTTTATTCTCTGGTGTGAAATTATTTGGGTTCTTCATTTTATAGTGTCTTAAACAGATATTTTATAAAGACAATTCTGTTATTTGTTTTCTATTACACTGCTATTTCTTCACTTTCCCACCCCCATTATTTCAGGTTTTGAAAGTTGTATCTATAAAGTAAACAAATACAGCTCTTTCTTCTTTCTTAATTCTCAAACAGCAAATGCATCCATCCATTCCTCTGCCATTTCCTGTCTATGGAAAATAGATATTTTCAAGCTGATGAGATAGCAAGATCTCTCATACCAAATATTTTCTTAGAATATGATGTTGACCCTGCTCTCACCAAGAAGAGGGGACTATGTTCCTTCACTGTGAATCCAGGTGGTCTTGGGACAAGTGTTTTCTAAGTGACTTCTAAGTTAAGGTCATAAAATGTGATCCAATGTCTGGTTCTCCTGGAACCCAGTTACCATGCTCTTAGGAAGTTAAACAGCCACATGGAGAAGCTACATATACATGTTAAGCCAACAGCCTTAACTGAAGACCTGGCCATTGCCAGCACCACCATATGTGTGAGTGAGCAAGGCTTAAGATGATTTCAGCCCTGGCCACTCACATGCCTCAGCTGATGCTGTGTGGAGCAGAGACAAGCTGCCCTGCTCGGCCCCACGCAAATTGCTGATTCCTAAGCAAATTAAATAATGATGGATGTTTTAAGCCCCAGGTGTGGGATGAATTGCTACCATCCTCTGTGTCTCTAAACAGACCATTCCCATACCAGAAGTTCACCTTAAAGAGAAGCTGACTTGGAGAGGTATAACCAAACAACTCATGCTGAGACAAAAATAACATTCCCTTTATTAATCAGAAGCCCCATTTCTTTTCTGTTCCAGAAACTGCCTCTTCCTCCTCCCAGATCTCAGTTCTGTCTGAACCTCTGTATGGTGCTTGAACACAAAGGTTAAGAATGCTGTGCATCTGCGCAGAAGGAGTCTCTTTCAAAATTGTACCAGCAGATGGGGATACATACCAAAATGAATGCAGGAGGGCAGGTGGAAAGCTACAATGGTCCTGAAATAAACCTTCCCATAAAGCTTGTGTCACAGCAGGAAGCCATTTAAAAATAGCTTCCTCAGAACTTTAGTCATCTTTTGAGGTTTTTATACTCTGCAGGCATAGCCCAGGCTTTTTCAGGATCAACAGTCTTTCCTTTTTCAGCTGAGGGAAGCCCTGCTGCTGCTGTACCCACCTGAGCCCCCTGTCGTAGTTATTTGTGGCACAGACATTCCTGGTTACCACCATGGAGTGCAGCCTCACAAACCTGGCCTGCATTTTAGCAAGAGCAAAGCAGAGAAGATGGAACCAACTGGATTTGAGCATTCATTATATGCCTGCCCATTTGGATTAATGATTTCTAACACGATTCTCAAGACATCACTATGGCGTATATATTGAGCCCCAACTTACAGTAAGGAAACAGAAAATCTGAAGATAAAGTAACTTGACCAGGATTCAAGCCCAGGTCTGATTCCAAAGCCAATTCTTTAATGATGTCTGGTAGCATAGTGCCTAAGGCACTTGACTGCTAACCAGGAGACTGGCGGTTCATACCCACCAGCCACTCCTCGGAAGGAAGGTTGGGCAATCTACTTCCATAGTGATACTACCTCGGAAACCGAAGGAGGGGTCGCTATGAGTTGGTTGCGACTCAACGGCACATAACAGCAGCAACAACATAGTCCTTTAATACAAAGATGCTGTATTTGAAAGAGGGGAAAAAGCCATACCATTTTCTACAAAAGTGGAGTCATGTCCTACCAAAATGCAAAATATCCCAGCAAAGCACTAAAAGGACATGTTTCGTGTTTAAAATGACTTTATTTCTCCTGAGAGACTAAAACATTTAAATATTATTCATGGGCTGGCAGTCACTTGTTGCATATCCTTCTCCTTATTTTGTGTATTTTTGGGGGAATTTTCATTCTAGTTTGTACTTTTGCAGGTAATGGGCTTCAGGAGGCAAGAGAGAGTGAAACTAAAATTCTGTTTATATCTCTATGATCAGAACTTAGGGGTGGATAAGATCTTAAAGATCACTTAGGCAAATCATCCAAGTTTCTGTCTTTAAACACCTCCAATGTGAGAGCATCTTCTCCCTGTAGTCCTTGCTATGACTGACGGCTTCATTTAAGACATACTAACACCAATCCTAGAAACTATAATTTCTCGTCTATTGGTTTTCTGTCCATAGTTTGGTTTTGGGACACACTGGTTTGGGGCACATTGCGGAGGGGCTTGAAATGTAATAGACTCATTCCATTATTATGGATTCCATTATGAATGTGACACCTTCTCCCACTAGTCTGTTATTATCAATTGCTGAAGAGTTACTTCTGACTTGTGGCAACCCCGTCTGTGCAGAGTAGAACTACTCCATAGAATTTTCAAGGCTGTGACCTTTTGGGAGCAGATCACCAGGCCTTTCTTCCAAGGCACCTCTGGGGGGGGGGAGGCTTGAGCTGCCAACCTTTCAGTTAGTAGTCCAGTGCTTAGTCATTTGTGCCACCCAGGGATCCACTACCCTAGACAAGTGAGTATCTCCACAAATTGTTTAAGCTTCTTAGAATGCAAATGAGAAAGGGGCTGAGATATCATCTTCTCACTCCATCGACCAGCTGTTCCATGTTTACACCTCTTTCCAAAATGCTTTCTTCATTGAAATATCACAACAACCTTCAAGGAATGAAGATAGGTATTCAGTTGTGATTTCTTGGGGATCTGTTAACATGCTAGGCCCTACGGTGGGTGGTCGTTGTTGTTGTTGTTATGTGCCGTCGAGTCGGCCCCGACTCATAGCGACCCCTCCTTGGGTTTCCGAGGCAGTTATCACTACGGAAGTAGGATTGCCCAACCTTCCTTCCGAGGAGTGGCTGGTGGGTTTGAACCGCCAGCCATCTGGTTAGCAGGCAAGTGTCTTAGCCACTATGCTACCAGA